AAACAGGCTTAGCTGGAAAAACTTCTAACTTCTTCTACTATAAAATAACAGCATATCAGTTCAAACCTGTATTAGGTTCAACTAAAAAAAAATCTAAGAACCCTTAAAACAAGAACAGATTTTAGTTAAAAATTTTACTATCCTTCTTCTTTGGGACTGGGTTCTAATCTAAATCTTTTTCATGTATGCCAGTTGTCAATTTTCACAGAACTTTTCAGAACTCAACTATCTTTTGGACTCCCACAGCTATGGTTGAAACATTTTTGAAAGTTTAATTAGAGTCTGAAAGCCAGATAACACACAGGAAAACTGCATAATTTTATTGTCTTAGAAAATCAAATTAAGCAGGAGAGAGACTAGAAATCTATATAAAACCTCAAATATCAAATGATGGTCAGAGAAGCTATAAATATTGTGAAGCTGAAATCTGCAATGATAGATACATTAAAAACATTATTTCACCCTATCTATACAGTTTAAAGTGACTACCACTGACAGCAAGCCTTTACTTAGTTTTTACCTGAACACTTCTTGGGTAGCTCGAGGAATAATTCCAAGTTCTGATTCCTCTTCTATGGAGAATGTTAAATTCCCCTCTAACTGTGGTCCCAACATTGTGTATGTCTTCCCACTTCCGGTTTGCCCATAAGCCATGATACACACATTGTACCTGAAAAATAGTAATTTATTTTATCATTACCAAATGTGTCTGCTAGGTGGCAAGTCAAACTCCAAACAATTTGGGAACACAAACTTAAACAAGAAAATAAAAATGCTGCCCCTGATTTCTTTTTGCAGATCTCAAAGTCTGACAGTAATTACTGTTCATAACATCACCTACACAGATTTTATTTTTTAAGCAGAGTTAAAGGGATGCTTTTAAGTAGAAGTTTAAAGGATTCTTAGCTTGGAATGATTGATGCTGTTAGACCTCCTTGCCTGTCCAACTTTCAGATTTTGCACTACCACTATTGAGCTGCTTTTTAATCAGCTCTTGAACCACTACAGTTTAGAGTACAGCATTTTAAATTAAACCATTTCTGGGCTTGATTTGTGTTACAGTGCTGTGCTGCAAACCACTGCACTTGTATCCTAACAGCTAGGAACTCTTCATCTCTCATAGTCTTTTTCAGGCAGGCTCACCAGTCACAGCCCTCAGAGAAGACAGCCCTAAGAACAGGAGGCACAAATTTTAAACCAAGAGCACCAGCTGAGAATGAGCATGCACACAATGACTACTCTGGAACAAAGGTGGCAGGAACTACTCTGATAAGGACAAGCAGAAAATGAAAGTGTACAGTGTCAGTGCAGAGGAACAGGCACCTATGAAGCATCATCTTCTGAAGTAGACAAGTAAATATGTCTAACGAACACAACTCTGAAAATGCCTCTTGGCTGCACTGAAAATAATACAAGAAGAATTGTTCACAGCTGTGAGCACTGTTGTGGAGCCTGTGCCACAGGATCTGAGCTGAGATACATGGATCCTATCTAGAAAGTGTGTTGCTAACACAACTAGATCAAAGTCAACACCTTAAGCAAAATAAGTAGGCGGATACAGATGCATCCAGCCACAGTACTGCTTTGTGTGCAGGACCAATACTGTGCTGTGCAGCTGAAGTTTTGTTCCTCCTTGGCTATGCCTGCTCTGCTGCCCCTGCCAGGAACTCGATGTTGACCACAGTACTGTGCCAGCCAAACCCTTGGAAGACATGCATTTATCTGACAGGACCGTTCTCTGCCTAGATTTTGTTTGTTTGGAGATACGACAGTAGCAGAACCTTCCTACACAAGAAGGACTTCACAGTTTGCAGAAACTTCTGTTCTACTAGAGGGTTGCAAGAATGGGCCTGCTCCTGTTCTGCCAGGGAATAAAATTTCACTGCCTAAGCTACCTCCTCTGTGGGCAGACCTGGAACAGCTGCTTTTGATTATCTGATGCTTTTACTCATATCAAAAATGTAGTTTCAAGCACATGCCAGAATATTTCAATGAACACCCCTCATCTAATTGTTTTAAACGTATGGTTTCAAGTAATGAAATACTTACATGCATATTAAACATGCCTAGAAGCAATTATTTCAGGAGGATTATTTTGAAAGCTTTCACTTGTTAGAAAGAAATGTGGGCTGATAAGCCACACGGAAAATACCTGGGTACCCTTTCTGGGAATATGAAGTTAAAGTTGCAGTCAATGAATATATAGTAAGGTCCCTCTGGATTTTAGCATGCACTGCAGAGTGAAAAATAGGAGTCATAGATTTGATGAAGTAAAGGTGATAACTGTAATTGAAAACAAAGAGCACTACAGTAAAATTAAATGTGATAGCAATTAGGGCTGTAAATCTGAAATGAGGGATTTCTTGAAGTATTCACTGCTGACATAACTCAGTAGAAAAGCTCCCACAAATTTTGATAGTTTTTATCTAGACTAACAATGAGTAATTTTCACAGTTCCACCCCTCATACATACTTCCTGGCCAACCTTATTGAGACTTCTAGCCTTATCTCAAAATTAAACAGATCTTTGGAACCAAAAAGGGAGCCAGATGTTTTTCCTTAGAAGAAACAGAATTAGTCTTCTTAGAAGCCTCTCCTAAAGGACTTTCCTATAGTCCAGCTATTTAAATTTTCCTTAATTGCTGCTAGTCATAAGACAGTAAGCACCATGGACAAAATAGTTCTGACAAGAGACAGATGATATAATTAGAAGGTAAGTGGGCAGATGATTGTAACATTGCAGATGGAGGTGCAAGTCTGGTATCAATGAGTGGTCACTTCTCTGTCAAAGCAAAAACAGTGTTTCAGTCAGCCCAAATGAGCTGAAACTGGCCAAAGTGGTATCAAATCTAAGTAGGTACAGGAGATAATGAATTGTTGGAGGATTCAACAAGAGGACAAGCAGCAGATTACTTTATATTTATCTATATAATAACACTTGTTTATTATAGTTTACTTCACTGGTGTTCTAGCTCCAGCATGAAGCTTTCAAATAGAGAAGTCTGAAGGTTTTTGACTATGATTCATAGGTATTTGCTCTGATATTTTTTCAACTGCACTTTATTATTATATATAACAGTTATATTCCTGTTTAGAAAAGTTCTTATTGTCAAGCTAAAATACCAATAGTTTTGTAGCACTTCTCTCCTGAAAAGAGTGTGGGTGTTCACTTTAGCTTACCCCTAGGAGGGAACTCTGTTAAAGGAAATGAGAGGAGAAATTCATTCTTTAAAATAAACAAACAAGTTGGATTATTCAACGCTGTAAAGAAAAGAAAAGTTATCTTACTCCCTTGTTGGCCCTGTATGGGTCACGGTAAACTTTGAAGCCTGCTATACTTTGTCTGGTTTACATATGGAACAATCTTTTTTTCCTGTATATTTGTAGTGAAAAATGAAACAATCCATTAAGAAAGAAAAACACAGAAAAAATAAGGAAAAGGAGAGAACACTCCCTTCTACTCAAACTAAAAGTTGTTACAGACCAGTTTGGAACCCAAACTAAAACAATCAGGAGCAGCAAAGAGGTTCAAGGTTCAGACTAAGTATGTCTGTTTCCCATTTACAGTGGGAAGGCTGCTGTTCTCATATGTACAGACTCACCTTTCCTGAGAATCTGCTTCTGTTTAAACAGCACTTCTGGAAGAACAAGACAGGTCTTTTGTTTTCAATAACAGAACATTTCCTAACTGAACACAAAAGTCTTAGCTTTTAGGACAGGGTTCTCTCCATGTAAAAATTAGTAAGTGGAAAGTACAACAGATCAAGGTACAGTTCAGATACATCTAAAAACTCTTAAGGGATGCGTTGAACTTAGGCAAAATTATGACCATTGCAAAAGGAAAAGTAGGGAGAGAAAGCAGTAGTTTTAAGACTTCTTTAAACTCCTGAAACCTAGTGGTCCCTAGGTTGATCAGCTAAAAAACTGTGGTCACTCATTACTGGTAAACAAGAATTATGCAATCTATGACTTCCCTCAGCCAGGGAGCCCTTGGGGGCCTCTCTGTGGTATATGGAATTCCCAATATTCACAGTATCTTTAGATACCTCTTCTAGGATGCTTTCAAGAAAAGGAACCTAGGAAACTTCAGTGTGCAGGCTTCTGGGGACAAAGATTGCCACTGTTCAACTCTGCCACTGTGGATGGAAAGGGACTGTCTTTTCCTCTACAGGGAGCAAAAGGCCCATGAGATCCCTACCATGTAATTAAGTGGTATTGGAACAGGGATGAAAAAGAAGCAGAGAGGAAGTCATGTGTAAAACTCAGTTCAGTCCTCAAGGATTATAACAATATGCACATCAAAGCTCCTTTGAAAGAGTAGCTTCAGTTGGCTCAGTACTTATGAAAAATCACACTTTAAGAGCTTCAGTAGCTAGAAGTAATTTCATGTATTTGTTAGTGCTTGTTAGTGATCAGTTTTCTATTCAAACCAGAATTCTGTTTTACCCCAGTGCCTGAAGGAGCAGTTGAATGACTGAGAATGCTCAGTTCCTGGTTCAACCAGGAATTGATGACACTGCCTCCTATGGCCTGTGCTGGACACAAAACCAGAACAGAGACTGGCCCTGGCAGGCCTTTTGCATTGAACACAATGTTCACAGTGTTGGAAAAGATGCATCATACAACGTCTGCAACTGGGAAAGTTACAAAACATAACCTAAAGAACACACACAAAAGAGACAACATCTTCCATTTGAAGCATCAGTTTGACAGAAAGAGATGAGAGGAAAAAATAATATTTTTTTTCCCAAACTTGTCTGCTCTGCTTAATTTTGTTAACTGCATTTTCACTGTTTGTACAGGGAAACAACATTCACTTGGTAGTGAGTAGAAAGAAAACAGGAAAATGAAACTGCAAAGCCATAAAGCTTGACTATATCACCCTTATTAAGTGTTTTTTAAAAATGGATAGATTTCAGTAGATTATTGTCATTTAGCTTTTTTACTGCAACCTTTTAACTTACCCATCCAGGAGAGATGTTAGCAAAGGGGCCACATCTGCAAATACTGCATCTTGAGACTCCAAATCATTGTAAACTCTGAGGAACAAAGTGCAATGATTAACCAAAGAAAAAATATAAATGGTGTCACAAGAACACAGACCATAGAAACTGTAGGCCAGTGACATAAAAACTGGAACCTGCTGACATTTCTGTGTCAGAGAAATGAAAATTAGAACTCCAAAGTTCTCATTCACATTTTGGGAGCAGCTGTTGTGCATTCTGGGAAGAACAACACATAGGTGTACCCTTGTGGACTTCTGAGCTCAATCTAAACCTCTTGCCTGCCCCTCTGGAAGTCTTTTTTTAGGCTGTACAGGATCCCTGCAACTTTTTCCCACCTACTGTAACATGAAATAGCCCTGCTGCCTGGGCTTCCTATGTATCACATTATGGAAGACAGTGGTCAGGTTGTACTGCCCTTTAGATGTGGGTAAAGTTTGAGGGAAAACAAAAAGAGGGAATGTCCCGGAGTAACTCTATGATGCTTGTATCTCCAAATCATCTATTCTGTTGGTGTTGAATATTAAGTTCTGCAGGTTTAAGACTGGTTCCAAAAGTGAAAGGGGAGAGAAGAGATGCAGAGTTTGTTATCAGAGACAGCACTTGCACTTACTCCCCTGCATCCTTCACAGAGACTGTGTTGTCTGCAGCCGACAGCAGGAGAGAGCTCTCCTTTGCTTTTGGTTAGTTTTTCTGGCTAGCTGTGGCAAAAACAATCCCTAGACTGTAGGGGTTTTTATTATTTTTCTTAAAATTATTCAAATCTGCTCTAGACAAAATACTCAGAAAAGCACCAGAAGCTCCTGTAACCTGTAACATTTGTAACCCACTAAGCCTGGCCTGGGCCGTGGCATTTCCCAGTGCCAGAAGAACTGCAAACAGACTGAGTAAGCCAGACTACAACCCACAGAAGAAACTCTTCTGAATCTGTCATCTCTTCGGAATGGCAAAAAGTTCTGCTGTTTAGTATTGTTCATTTTTGTGCTGGGAAGTGCTTTGCCTGTTAAATAAACCGGTTTTTTCCCACTTCTCTCCGAGAAAATATTTTCTTCAAACCAGTTAGAGGAAGGACTGCTTAAATCTGTTTCCTTAAAAGACTCCCATTCAGAAGTTTCCTCCCAAATTTGCCCTAAACCAAAACAGGGACAGAGACTGAGAGGTAGCTGAGAACTTGTCTCAGAAGACGCAGTGGCACAGCAGAAATCAGAATGCTCCTGAAGGTCATGTTTAAGGATGCACTATCTTTGTGGGCAATATCAGTATTTCCATCCTCAGCCCTGGTGAACTACCCACTCTGGAATAAACACTTTTCACTCAAGGGAAGACTTTCTTTTACATAATGATGTGGAGTGCAGACCTATTTTTAAACAGAATGGAAGACAAATTGCATGAGTTATTCCACCTCTCAGAAAAGAGCAATGACAGTCCAATACTTGGGCCCATACAATGATGTCTGAAACAACTCTGTATGTTTTTTGAATGCAAGGAGAAAAAAACCCCAACAGTTATCTTCAAATAAATCTTTCCTCCAATCCTTTCAAGTTTGCACAACCTAAAATCAAGACCTGAAAATAGGAAATCATCAGAGAGAGAGGAAATTCTGATCATAAAACATGGATATCCTAACTCATTCATTTCTTCTGTAGCACACCAAAAATCTATCCTCCCCAAGATTACAGCCTGCAGCACCCATTGTTTATAGAAGATGAACAGAATCTAAAACATGAATGTCATTACCCACAGTTAAATATTTGAGGTACAAATGTTTATCTTTTGAAAAAGTTTCCTTTTCTGGTATCTTTCTGTGGTGATTTTTTTTTTGTCTTGCACTGTTTTCCAATAGATGATATATGTTCTTTATAGCTCAGAGCAAAATGGCTAATTAGAAACAGGAATTTTGGTAGCAGCAAACATTACAAAGTGTAGTCACTTCTCTGTGTATACAGTACACCCATACCCTTCCCTTAACAGTGTCCCACAGATTGTACAGGATACTACAAGGTTAACTGAATAAAGACAAAGTGTGCTCTTCAGCATTTACTCAAGCCTCTTTGTATATCTGACCATGATCTGTCTGGTACAGTCTATAGACTGCACAAATAGAGTTTTTGTATTCATCCTCTCCATAAATAACATTATACAGAGGGATCACTGATAAACAGATACAGAACTGGAGTCAATGCACTGAACTCAGCATTTTTCCTGACAACAGACAGAAGAAGGAACAAGAAACAATATGGTGGCCAGAGACACAGTAATTCATCTCTGTATCTCATCCTAATCCTTAAAAGCTGTATACTGGCCTCAAAACTGAAATTTGAGTTGGATCTCTGTTTCAAAAAAAATATTATTAGAATTAGCATTCAGTTTCTTTCTGCATCTTGCTAAATTCTTGGCCCGGAGCAACATCCTGTGGCAACGTGTTCCACAAACTAATTGTAAGCTGCATGAAAATGTACTCTCTTTAATCAGGAAAGGAGCACTTGTCTGGCTTGATAGACAAATACTGCTTGTATTGCCATTCCACTGATGTGCTATCACAGTGCACTCAGAAACCAACAAATATGCAGGGATGTGGCACAGTTCAGACCAGGAGGACACTGGCACTGAATACTCTGTCCCTGCTTTGCATGCACATGAGCATATGCTTCAGTAAACTTTGTACATCCAATCTGCAAGGTCAATATAAAAGAGCAAAAGCACTTCCAAACACTTTTCTCTGCTTCATCTATCATCTGCAACTGATGAAATATTCATTAGCGCCCAGTCCTCCGTCTTAACCAATTAGGTCTCTAACTCAGTATGTGTTGAAATATTTTTCTTCACACATCAAAACACCTCAGAGCTACTACATAAATTAAAAAAAAAAAAAAGGAAAAAAAGAGAAAATACTAAGAAAGGCATTTTAAAGATTAAAACATTCACAGTTGATGAGTTTTGTTGCCTAAGAAAGCAAACACATTGCTACTGGCCACAAGCCAGGCTAGAATCAGTCAGTCTTAGCAGTTCATTTGCACAGCAAAGTAGATCACAGAATCAGTTAGCTTGGAAAAGATCTCCAAGGCCATCAAGTCCAACCTTTGACTTAAGGCCACCTTGCCAACTAACCCATAGCAGTAGGTGGTGTCACATCCAGTCATTTCTTGAACGCTTGCAGGGATGGTGACTCCACCACCTCCCTGGGCAGCCTGTTCCAGTGCTAAAGCACCCTTTCAGTGAAGAAAATTTTCCTGACGTCCAAGCTGAACATAGGCTGGACACACACCTAAGCCCTAGTGCAGCCTGAGGCCATTTCTTCCAAGTACAGCCACAGCTGGGGTCAGTACAGCTATTTTAGGGTCAGGCTTCAGTAGCTGATCTGAGGAAAGGCACGTGATTCCATGTTACAGTCACTACTCAAATATTTACTCAACTTCCTAAAGGGGTTTTACTGCCACTACTTAGCTGCTGTGGTTCAAATGCTATCCATACTGAAATAAAGTGGTTTAAAGTAATCTTGAACTAGTTTATGCTACACTGTAACCACAGCCTTGGCTGAAGCATGGACACCCACTTCATTATCTCTCTGGAACCATGAAAGATGCTGCAAATCCAAAGAATCTCTTTCTAAAACCCCATGTATTTTTACCAGAATGATAGATTTGTCCCTGTGTACTGATTAATGTGAATTTCACATTGAAAATTCTGAGCTTCCTTTTTATTTTGCTAACTGATTTGCCAATAAAATTATAAAAGCATAACATGTTGAAAGCTGGAATTTTCCTCCTGAGCTGAAATCAAATATTTTGACATTTATTAGTTCCATAAAACACTGCTAAAAAAATAAACATTTTAGAGTTCATAAGAAACATATGCTTTTCTGTTTATAAAAAAATAGCTGTAGTGGGACACTAAAAAAACATTCCTGGAGAACTGCATTCCTTGGGGGATTTACATTTTTAACCCTTTTCCTGATTACCAGGATCTACACCACATTTCCAGAATCACAGCACCTCTGGAGTCCTGTGTCAGTACCATTAACTGTGCTGCTCTACAGAGTTGAATTCCAGCATATTTCTGTTTACTTCAACTGGTATGGTTGGGTTAGGTATAGCTGAAGAGTGAAAGGAATTACTTTGAGTAGCTTAGCAACATGTGAGGGGGCCATGTACCCTAAGAGATCTTATATGCCTTGAATCAAAGAAGTCCTAAACCTGTGGGATCAGTAAAGCTTCCCCAAGATCTGCATTATTATTAGGATTTTTCAGGTGCTTGATGGCCTACATGACACCAGTCCCCATTCTCCTGCAAGTAGAAAACTGCAGCACTGTAGAAGAACGTCTTGAGGAAAAGGGCAACGACTAACAATGTTTAGCAAACCTACAGGAATTTCGGTTGAACAGGCTCAGACATTAAGTTTAAACCAGGACAGATAATTCATGCTGGGTACATCTGACTTTAAATCAAGTTTTGCCTTCAAGCAAGAAAGCATTAAATTGTCCTCCTGTATTCCGTTTCCAGAGAGGAAAGAGGCATTGGGGTAAAATTTTGTATTTCATTATCTACAGAGTTCCCATTGTATTATTTAAGTCTTCATTCCTGTTTTCAGAGGTCCAGGCCAGCACCATTTTGAAAGAACAGAAGGCACCCTTCAGCCTGTCTCCCAGCAGTTTTCTGTCTCACTGATACAGACTGGCAGAGATTCTGCTGTCCCATTAAAACCCTTATCACAAATGGTGCATGGATTTTGACCCAGTTCATCTCTGTGGATTTTTGAGCATCTAATACAGCAAGCAGTCCCACTGTAGCCTTTCCTTTGGGGAGCACTGATTCCCACGCCACTGCTCTGCCTTGTTGCCTCTGGTCAGGCTGTTCAAACATCAACTTGTACAAGTGCTCAGTCCAGTTTCCACCAAAGTCATGCTCCATGTCTAACGCTGAAATCTTGCAATCCACCTCAATTCATAGGACCATTGAATTGTCTGGGTTTTAAGGAACCTCTGAAGGTCACCTAGTCCAAACCCCCTGCAATGAGCAGGGACATCATCTAGATCAGGTTGCTCCGAGTGCCATATCAACTGACCTCAGATTGTTCCAGGAATCTGACAGCTAGTCCCTCTCTGGGAAACCTATTCCAGTGCTTCACCGCATTTATTGTGAAACCATTCTTCCTTATATCTAGTCTTAATTGACCCTCTTTTTGTTTAAAACCATTACTCCTGTTCCTATTGCAACAGGCCCTACTAAAAAGTTTGGCCCCATTTTCTCATGGACTCCCTTCAAGTACTCGAAGGCAAACAACACTTCCTTACCTTTATAACATTCTGCTACCTTGCAACATGTAGCAAGGATCAGGACATCTACTCCGACTGTGAAAACAGTCAAGTAAGTCTCTACACAGGTTTCAAACTTAGCCATATTAGTAGTCTTTACTGAGAGGGAAGACTGTTATCTATTCCCTGAAATGCATTATTCTGTCCTGGGAAGAACATAATTATCACATCAACAAAAACACAAGAATTTTCCTCCCACCTCCCCTCCTCAAAAAAACCCAACCAAAACTAAAAAAATTAGTCTTCACTACACAAATCTTTCAGCAATTTAGATTTCCAGATTGCTACACAGGACTACTACTCACCTCTCAAACTGAAAAGTCTTGTTTACTGAGCCATGACCAGGACGGCTACACTTGACAAGGACGGTTTCCTAAGAGAAAAAAGCAAATTATCTATAGTTAATATCACAGATACAAACATAAAATCAAATATGCATCACTCCTAATGTATCAGGTGACAGCTTTAAGGATCAGGAAGTCCAAGGCCCTTGTCCAGCAGTCACCAGTTCTAGAGGCTTTAGAGCATGTATAATACAGTGAACTTGCAAAACCATAACAAAGGATCTCAAAGTCCATTCAGATTATTAAATAACAACCCACACAAAACATGCACTTAAGTTCAAGATAAAGATCCAAACCCTTACCTGAATTTTTTATTGGAACTAGAAAGTCACAGGCAAGTAAATGCAAGCTTCCCAACTGCCGCTACAGGCATAAAAAAAATTGCAAAAGAGAGTTCTTTTTTTTATTGTTGGATACATTTTCACAGTGCCTTTTCAGATTGATTTCATAGCTAGCTCTGTCTAGAACTAAGAAGATCCACATTTTATTAAATAACATTCTAGTCCACAACTAAGAGAAAGAGCTTCACTACAACTGTAGAATTCCATGAGTTTTTAGTGGAATCCACTTCCCAGATGAGTTATACAGTAACTTTTTAAGTCTGACAAATATGTAAGCAAGCAGCTCTTTAAACTATTACCAGAGTACAATCACAGCAGTCTGATGTGGATTAGCTAGCAAAGTCTGTGCCCTTCTGCTCCTCATGGAAAATGTTGCTTAATTGCTGAGAAAAGTAAAGAAAAAAGATGTGGAGTCTTACAACAACTTGGGTGGAAGCTCTCCAGCACACAAAATTTTTCATCCAATTCAAGGAAACTTTCTAGCTTACTAACCTGTGGTTACATTACTGCATTTGATGGGAGTGCTGAAATTCCTAATGTGCTTCAGACAAGTAGGTTGGAGTACTTGAACTAGTGACCTTCAAATAAGTATTGCCACAGACTGAAGTTATAAAGTGCTGAACAAATAACAATTACATAACAGTATGGCCAGCATGCAAAAGGCTGAAAAACATCAAATTTCTTCCTTTGAGTTTATGAGTATTTCTACCTCTTTGGAGAAATGTATAATTATCCAACTAATGATGACGAAACACTTACTCTAAAGAATGAGCTATGTTACCCACCTCAGTACTGTCAAATTTAGCTGAGTACAGATGTCAGTAGAACTCTGCTACAAAATGGCCTGACACAAAAATTTTAATAGAATCAGTAACCAACAGGCTCCAGGGGAAAGAAAAAGGAAAAAAACTGAAAAATATATAGAATGATGGAATACATTTCTGATTCAGGGTATCAAATTGACTTGCAGATTAGCTTTCTCTAAGGTGAGAAATAAGAGAAAAAACCCTCTAGTTGCACAACATAGAAACAAAAGAATTGACTGTTAATAGGCAGAAGTTTCATAAGAGCATTTGTAATCACCACATCCAGTCAGGTTTGGAATATCTCTAAAGATGGAGATCCAAACCCTCTCTGGGCAACCTGTGCCAGTGTTTGACTACCCTCATAGCTTCTTCTCATGTTTAGGGTGAATTTCCTGTATTTCAGATTGCACTCATTCCCCCTTGGGCTGTCACCACTAGGAAGAATCTGTGCATTCAGTACCTCCTCATCTGCTCATTTTCTCAGATAGTGACAATACTAGCACTGTTCAGTGTCTTAATCTGTGTGGAGTGGCTCAACCTGATATGTGGTGTGTACTCACCCTCCATGGTTATTGCACAACAAGCTTCAGAAGAAAGGCTCAGACAGTTGTTACTGTTATGTTGAAGAGCTGAGCATACACAGGACAGCAAAAAGTAAACTTCAAAAATCTTCAAGTAACTTGAAAACTGAAATGCAATACTCTTCTGAACAGCTAGTAAAATCTTAAGCCTTTCTTAGACTCAAAATCAGAATAATGTTTCTCTAGACAAGATGAACAATATGTTAGAAAAGACCACGTGTCTTAAGAATGATATTAATTTCTAAACAAACAAAAAAACACACTCAGAGACTAAATGGAAGTCATGTAGCGTCCGTGGATCTAGTTCTCAAATGTGGCTCTGCCTTCTAACACAATCATGGCAAATAACTGCCTGGCTATGCTACACACAAAGTATTTTCAGGAAAAAAATATGGAGAGACAGTTATGATCTAAAACACAAAACTAATAAACTCAGCATCTCTACCACATACAGTCTTCCTTCACCTTGATCAAAAATGTCCTTTAAATCGTTGTCTGGGAAATAGTTAACCTGTTTCCAGAAATACAATCTTTGACTGTGTTGCAACTAAAAGCTCAAGAACAAGTCAAGCCCATATTTTAATCTGAAAATTGCACATTTATCCTAGCCACAAGCATATCAGCTTCAGTTGTTAAAAGCAAAGTAAACAGGCAATAAATGTTTTTTTCCTTTACTTTTGTAAGATTAGTCTAAATAGACTGCTTTTTGTAAGAAGAATTCTTGCAACAATTTTTTTTTCTTAAAGAAAGATAAATTCATATTAAGAAACTAACACAAAGACTTCAGGTATTTGATCAAAACTGGAAAGTATTTTAACTAAATAAATGTCAAGGCAAACCAATAAAACATTTGAAGTCTATGTTGTGTTTTCCAAAACCAGGAAGTTAGTATTTTGCAAATTTCATTTCTCAGTCAAGCCCATGCTTATATTAATATTCCTTAAATATTTCATAAGATTAACATATTGAAGATCACTCTTCCATACAAACTAAAACTCATAAATTGGCATAAGCAAACACTGCCTTGCCTGTAAACATATCAATACCGTAATACATAAGATATCTATATTAAATAATTCAAAACCAAAATATTGCCTCATTTCACACTTATGCAATAAAATTTAACAGGTCAGAAATGGTTGCAGTATTTTATAGTACAATAAATGTGTCAGGATATCCAGAATACTATATCTACCATTACAGATCTTTGCTTTTTATCTCCTGACATATTTACTCTTTCTTCATCTCTTTATAAGCTCCATTAGTTACCTAATTGCACATATACAGATATGGATATATGTAATTATCCATATTATGCAAGTGAGATCTGCCTAATGAAACGATAATTTGGGAGATTTAAATGCATAACATATTGTAGGTCACTTCAGCAATACTTAAAGCCCTACACTATAAAAGAGAATTTGGCTCACCACCATGTAAGTAACAGTGAGCAGCCAACTAAGAACTATGGCAGCTATGAAAATTAAAACTCAAGTTAATACTTTGACCTTAGCTCACACTACTGTGCTTTTTTAAGTTTTATATCTTGGTAATGGCCTCAATTAATGCTGGAATGCCATTTGGATTTGCAACCTCAAAGACTATTCTTCCTCCAATGGATCTAAGCCAGGACACTTTGACATGCTTGACTGCAGCACCTCATAGGCTGCTGTGGTTCATGAGATATCAGATTTCTGTCCTAATGCATGAGCTGTGTTGCAATAGTAAAATTTGGAAAAAGCCTGACATAATTTTAGAAATAGCTACAGCACATACAAGTGGCTCAAAGGGACTGACAGCAGGAAGTCAGCAGCAGTTTGACTGTTGCAAACATTCAACCACCAGTTAAAGGATGGCTGCCCCAGCAGACGCTCCAAGCTATTACTGCTACAAAGAGTCAGGATGAAAATAGCACAAACCACCTGCTACAGCACCCATGGGTAATCAAATCTAAGCACCACCTGACCTTGTTGTTTTGGTTTTTTTAAACTCATTATTCTCATGGCCCTTCTTGTTTCTTCTAGTATCTATGAATGTGCTGTTGAATTCCACCATCAAATACTCACATCATCAGCTGCATATGCTGCCTTTTCTGAAAAGTTTCTTTGCCTGTGTGGGAATAAAAAAGCATCAATGGGGAAAAAGAGGTAGCCTTCGAACCACAAGTGTTCCACTTAGCTGAGAAGAAACAATGTTTGAAGTGTCTGTGAACTACACACTGTCTGAAGAGTACCTTTCAGAATTGCCATTATTATTGTACCCTATGTACATACTAACACTAAAGAACAAGTTAAAGTGCAATCAAGCAAAATAATCTGCTTTAGAAAAGACATTTAGAACAAACCAAATTAAGATGAATGCACATGCAAGCCATTCTATTATTCTGATTGTTGCATGGGCTTGTAACTAGAGGCTTTCACTTTAAAAAATTAAAGTGAAAAACACCCTCTTTTCAGGTATTTGTCCCTGATCTTGAATCCAAGATTAGTCCAAACACTGCCTGGGATTACTAAGGTGTACAAATCTATTGTGTGTGCAAATTTTTGAAGACTCAGTTCACAGTTTTACAGGTAAGTTTTCTTTAAATTGCTCTGATACATTAAGAAAAGTTACCCTTGACAGTTGTTTGGCCCAGTCTGTCCTGTTTTACACTGCAAATCAGCACCTGATTGCACTGTTTCATACTGCAACAAAAAAAGTGAGTGGGTTCCTTCCCAAGTATACCAAGCACAGGTTAATGCAAGTTTCAGCTTCAGGCTTCTTGAAATATCTTGGGTGTTATTTTGCCATTGTTTTAATTAAAACAATCTCTTTTTTTAGTAAGATTTGCCAAAAATTAATAAACTTTAAAACACTGAGTGTACTATTTTAAAACTACGAGGCAGTAAAAGAAAGCCCAAAATCAGCTATTTACTGATAAAGCAAATGATAATGTTACTGGTTTCTAGCCACCCACCTAGTATTCCCCTTCTCTCTTTCTTTCTTTCTTTGTATACACTTCAATCCCTGCTTTCTTTCATGTTAGTCATCTATGGAGAATTCAGCCTGTTAAGCAGATACTTGCATCTAATCCCTCTTTTCCTTTTGGATCTTGGAATGTTTTGACACATCAGTTACAGTAAACGTTTTATAAATTAGGGATGCAGAGCCAAATTAGACTGAAATAGAACTACAAATGTTTGTGGTGACAGCCAATGCGTTCTATAGCATTACAAAACAATTGTAACACTGAATGCGTTTCTCTACCCACGACTTTTGGCAGCTCTCCCATTACTGCATCCCAGAATTTGTATAGGATAGTGAATACACTCTAAACTGATGGCAGCTGTGTTACTTCTGCCAAGCCAGAAGTTCTGTTCTGCCAAGGATAATCCTGACTTGGCAGAACAACTATGGCTTTCCATTGAGATGGACATACTGTTAGGCAGGGGGATGAGATTGGCTAGAGGCAATTTAGCAGGAGAAAGAAAACAGCAATTAGTTTTTATGATACCATCATTGTCTCCCCACACACATAAAAACAGAAAAATCAAGGACACAGTTGTTCTCATATAAACATAACTATTGCTTTCTCTATATTTGAATTTGGAGTCAGAGAGGATCTAACACAACCAAAGATTACCTGTCACGTGATACTGAATGTCCAGCAGCATCATCAAAAGGTAGCAATGGTCGAATCCTGCAGTGGACTCTGATATTTCCTCTCAGTTCCTGGGATAAGAATATTAAGATGTATCTAACATGAATTACTGGAGAGGATAAATACACTGAAATTTGTCAAACAGATGTGAACATGTTTAAGAAGGCCAGTGTTCAGCACAACATAGCTCCAGACTTCGGGGGGAGGGGCGCGGAATAGAATCAATATAATTTGTCTTAGTAATGTAGGAGATAGTACTTGAGGAAGTACAAGATCTTCAGAGCACCAGAATTGTACAGCCCTCTCCAGTTTATATGGACAAAAAAAAACCAACCTCTGAGCCATTTTCTCTTCCCTTCCTTATTCTCCTTCCTCTTTACCGAGCTTTTTCAGATACCTGTATTAACTCAACAGACAACATTACACGCTCCATTTCTCTTCCACCAGTCCTGAGGAAGATGTGGAATATAAAATATGTTGTTTATTTTCCTCACACTGTGCTCCTACATGATTAAAAAGCCAGTAGCTGATTTTTCACTGTAGGCCATTTTAGACTTATTTATCTCTTCCATTTTGTTGGTGATCAGTTCTTCTCATTTTGTATGACTGAACATAGCTTGCCTGTGAGGACTACTGACCACTGGTATTAACACCCTATTGCTCTGGGAAGTATCTTTTCAGTAAACTGCAACACAAGGCAAAATTTAGAAGGAAAGTACTTTTTAACAAAGAGATTCATTTCCCCAGGTAGAAAAACTTTAAAAAAAAATCGTTGAAGGAGGCTTGTTTTCTAAAAATCAGGTCCTGAATTGGGAAACCCAAAACTAGTCATTTGTGGTGATGGGAGGAAGAGTAAATTTAAAGTACAAATAGGAAAAAGTTAATCCCAAATCACTAATGGCTGAGAAGGATACAGCTAGAGATATCTGGAAAAATAAAAGAGGACTACTTTGCAGTACCAAGTTAATAATTTAAAGAATTTTAAAATAATTTCAGAAGACGCAAATTTAGAGAAGGAGATGAAGAAACTCAACTTTTGTCCACTATTCAAAATGGATGATACTCCTTAGGGCAATAGGTCACATGAGTGCATTTGGAAGATCTTGTGTAAAAAAAAAAGGAGTGGGGTTTATTATAAGACAAATGTGTCTCCACAAATAAACACAATATATATAGACAGCTGGGGTGAGTGATATATCCATGTGAAGTATATTCTTTACTTATATTGGTGAGGAAATTATGGGAATAATTTCAACAAAATAAGCCAATGTTCTGTTATGAAACATACTTACAATTAAGCTGTTATGTAGAGCCTTCCTCTTCTGCTTTTCTTTCTCATATCTCTCTGTTACCTCTTGTAGAGACTGCTCAAGATCAAAAGCTTTTATCTGAAACACTAGAAGAAAGCCATTTCAGAGATATAAACTCCATGACTTTACAAAAGGAATTGTCTAGTAGCACCTAATGAAATATAAGCACAAACCTTCTCAACTTCTACCAAATTTCAGTTAGGAGGGTTAGTTTCTGATTTACTAGACACCTATGAAAAGTCCTATCATAGTTCTTGCTATTTGAAGCTACAAATAATTACCACAAGTACACACAAAGTCTTGAAAAGCAATCAATAATGTAAGATATTTAAAGTCAGTTCAAACGTGTCAGTTTAGTTAGTGATGTTACCTGCCAGTGCTGCATTTGAAGCAGCCTATTGCTAGATCTGGCTGTCACTTGCAAGGCTCATACCACATCTGCACTTATTAGACTCATGTGGGCTAACTTTACAAGAAGTTAACCTGTCATTTATCCTCAGCCTCACTTACAGTGCTGCTAATCCTTTACAATAGTTGTAAGGTTCCCCTTTAAGACAGGTCCATCACTCCTTGAGGAATTCATAGGAAGGATGGGTCATTTGAACTCTAGGGAGTCTCTTTCACCAAACTGAGAAGACTTCTCCAGGTCATCATAAAAGCCTTCTAACTTCACAAATGGTTTTATTTCAGCCCAATTACATTAACACTGAGCAGGCCTAAAATAAACATAAAGTCCAGAAGACACATTATGTGACTGTAAGCTTCTGCAAAAAACCAAAAACTTTAGGAATCCCAGTGGGAAATCAATATCCCCGGCACTTAGTGAGCAGTCTGGAGATGTAGTGTATCAAGCAGTCAAAACCAGGGTCTGAGAGCTGAATGTGCAGGATGGCCACCAGCCTCAGTTTGTGCTACCTTGCAGGGCAAGGAACACATTTAGTAACTCAGCATGGTCACACATACAATTTAATCTCTCTGGTATAGACTAAAAATCAGAAAATTTCAAGGGACATTTATGTACACTAGAGATTTCTCAGATCTTTTTTTCCTAATACCCAAGCTGTTCACCTCCAGCTCACAGTGTTCCTCCACAAGTGCACATACGTGGGGAAGCACGATGTTAATAGCTGGGGAATCAATGTCAAGGAGTTTCACTACGAAAAATTCTTCTCTTTCATCCAGCATATGGAGTAACACTAGCATGCTCTGGTTTGGAGAATCCTACAAATATGTTCCCATAAATTTTCAAAAGGGCCGCTTACAGTTGCTGACCCATAATAATTTTTAAAACACAAGGTTTTAAAGATTCCTTTGATTATTTAAGTAACCTCTACAATAAGTATCTTCATTTACATATTTGTGTACACACACTTTGAGTTCCACAAGTCTTTTAAATAAGCAGTAAAGTAAAGCAATAGATGCTGAGGGCACAGTTCCATTATTCCAGTCCTGGAAGAAAAAAGTTTCCTAATGCATAAATTATTTCTGAACGGCTATTTTTTTCTGAAAGTAGAGTTACGCAGTTACAAATATAAACACTTACTTAACATTTTCCTAGTTTTCTGCTTGGCATCAGATGCAAGCTATACAAGAGCTACATTTTCATCCTTAACCTAGTGGTAGACACTGGGTACATCTGTTTTAAAATACTAATAACACACTCTTCATTAGGCAAGGGAAGTAGTCACCACATGAATGCAGCTATTACAGACACCCCTTTTTCCCATTCTTTGCCCATTTCATTGTCTATATGGAAATTTCCTGGGAGCTGGGAATGCCAGCATTTTTCTGTTTAAGTGTTACCAATCACAGTAACATCAGTCTAACAGTTGTGATGCCTTGCAAGCATATTCAGGACTGCAACTTTACAGTTCCTTTCCTTTAACTGACAGTCCCAGAGCTTTTCATTCCCTCCCCCCCCTTCAGTGATGCACCGGATGTTTTGCTGTGCTCACACAACTCAGTCACAAAAAGGTCTAAAAGTAATCCTTTCTTCTGAGCAAATTCCATCCTGGATCAGCTCCCTGATCTGTTCTGCGTGTGGTTTCACAAAGAGTTATACAACCATAACAGAAAGGTCCATAACGGGGACATGAAAAAGGGACAGGAGCAGCATAACCGAGATGTGTAGCTGTCTTCATAGTTCCTTGGGGTTTTCAAGGTTTCTTGCCAATCTAGGATCCATTTTAAAAAGGAGATCAATCTGATCTTGTCTTCTACGACATATTGCACTATGATGCAATAGACCTAAGAGCAAAACTTCTTTTCAATTCAGCTGGATTTTATATTCCACGCTAAACATTATTTTTAGCATGGCCTGTTGTAATAGGTCAAAGGGTAATGGTTTTAAACTAAAAGAGGGTCAATTTATATCAGATATAAGAAAGGTGGTTTTTACAATGTGGGTGGTGAAACAAGTTGTGCAGAAAGGTGGTGGATTTCCCATCCCTGGAAACATTGAAGGTCAGGTTGGACTGGCCTCTGAGAACCTGATCTAGTTGAAGATGTCCCTACTCACTGCGGAGGGAATGAAAAAACAGGACCTTTCAAGATCTCTTAGAAATAGTTCTATGGATTATTCTCTGGGCTGCTACAATACTTCTGTTGCTGGATCCAAGGTTCCTCTCTTACTTCCCTACTTCACACTAAAGGAAATGCTCTCAAAAGGCAGCTGAGCTGTGAAAATCACCTGTGGAATTGAGAATAAAAGATGATGGTAGTTCACATTCCACTGATACAAGTCATTAGCACAGTGCAGAGCTCAGCTTTCTCCAACAAAAGCAAAGCACATAGGCCCTAGCATATAGACAAAATGGGAAAGCTCCTTTTTTAAGCTTCTCCAGCCCAGAGAAAAAGTGCCCCAGAATTGCAAAGCATATCTAAGTCACTAGGCTTACAAATCACTACAATTTCCTCTTTCTGATAATATCTGCATCGTGAAGCAATCTAAAAATTAATCTTAAATGTTTATGAATTCCTACCTTTCCAAAAATCTGCTGAATTACTGCATCTGTCTCAATAGTATCATTTGCAGTTTGGTAGCCAATATTTTTAGCAAAAATTATAGCAGCTTTATCTATGAGGGAAACGGGCCTTTAGCAACAGAATATATAATGGGGACTTCTCTCTCTTATGAATTGCTACTGCTTAAATTCCAGTGGCAAAGGTGGCAGTAGCCTGGTTTTCAGATTGTGAATAAATATTTCTAAGCAAAGGACTACTCGGTTATTATAAGAAAGTTTTATAGCTTGTTGCATGTCAACTACAACCTTGAGATTTACCTACTCAAATGCTTCTTCTGTAATTTTCTCCCTTGTTTTCAGTCTCTATTTTAAGATTAAATTGGTAATATATACTGTCTCCAGAATACATACTTAGGGCTTTCTGTCTACAAAAGATTACATGTAATTTAAGGACAGCAATTCCAATGGTCATATTTGAACTTAACAATAGAATCTCCATCTAAAACACTTGACAGAGAACTGAAAATCAGTCCAATTCAAAACAAAAGTCATCCACCAAAGTACCAACGTGCTATTTTGTTATAGTTAGAGAAGCTTCTCCTGCTTATGATTTCAAAGAACAATGCACCAGGAAGTGCAAATTTAGAACAGTCAACACAATTTTGCCAGATTTCCGAAGGAACATTTATTATGTATTTACACCACAATAGCTCAAGTGCCAAATTCAATCTCATATTGGTTCATTTAGCTGCCTGCTTCAATAAGAGAAAAGTTAACTTTTTAGATAAAGTTAATTTTCAACTTTGAGGTCTTTTCCTTGATGGAACATTTTCTGTACAAAAATAATACGGTAATCAAATAAATTTTAATTATAACTTAGTACTTAACATACAGGAATAAGTTCTGTAAACACCCATGACCAAGAGTGCTGTTTGTTGCTATTGACATGAGGAGTCCCATCAGAATCAAATCAGTCCCAAAATGAAATAATTCAAGGAAAGAGAACATACCTTTTTAAACGGCAACATATGGATATCAGAGCATCACAAAGAGTCCCTGATTGTAAATGTGTATATTTGTTGTAGATCACCAGGCTGCTACCCATCAAATAATTTAAGCATTGCATGTGTCATGTGATTCTCAGGCCTGGTAGGAGCTTCACCAGAATCAGGGATATTGAAAGCAGGTGCAGAGATCCACACCATGGGATCCAGGTATAGGACCAATGCACTTAATACTCAGTGATGAGGGCAGAGTGCACCACTGGCTCTCTTTCCTATGTATACATGAACAAGGAAGTACCTGAATTCCAAAGGAGCAGTCCATGCACTCTTAGTATCTACAGTCTAGCAGATGCAACTGGATTTTGAAGTAATATTTTTCTGATTAATACACAGAAATGTTAAAAAACAAATCTATCCTAATTTCAGGAAGTATTTTCAGAAACCTCTGAAATCAGCCAAGTCCTTCCCTGGTACAGTCAAAAGCAGACAAATTTCAGCTTTTTAAAGCGATGCATTCTTTATTCAGCTCTTCTAAAATAGCCAAGATAACAAGCCTGAGAACTTCAGTTTAAAAATGTTACAGCAGAGCCAACTCAGAAGCAGTCTAATAGCAACTGTAATCCACACAAAAGACAAATCCAAATTATCAGTCATAACCTCTGCAGAGTTACTTGTACTTCTAATGCTTCAGAACTCCTTGATGATTTAATGTCAAACAAGAAACAAGTGCTACAATTTCAGTGGCATGTTTCTCAAAAATCAGACTCAACCTTTTAATGTTAGTAACATTGAACAATTACATTGTTGATGTTACATGTTTGAAATCTAAATGCAATGAGCCTTACTTTGCATTGCTTCATTCTGCAGCTGTATCCCCTGGACTGCTGCCAGAACTTGGTAAAGACAAGTCTTGCTTTGACGCTGAAAGTCTTTTGAAAGCTCAAGAGCAAATGAACGAAGGCTCTTCAGGTCTTGCTTAAGTCTCTTCTCAGCAAGAAGAAAAACATGTTATAAAGACACAGAACCAGCAGTTAAGAAGAATCAACATGACATCCCAAATTATTATGGTGAGATATCACAGGCAGGAAAAACCCTCCACTTAATGGAAGGAAGCCTTCAGGAGTGTATCGTTCAGTATGTTTAGAGAAGGATGCTGCAAAACATTTAGCAATATAATTTCCTAAAAGTTTCAACAAGACTTTATGGATCCTTATCATTTTATCATACCTATTTTGACCATAACACAGCTTCAGATATAATCAAGTCTCCTTGTTATTTCCTCAGACAAAAATAAGTGTATGTGAGCACGTGTGGGCTCTGTTTACTTTTAAGTCATATCCAGAACTAGCAGTGAAAAATTGTGATCCATATAACCCTTACTACTTTCATTTTCCACACTTTGATCAGGAGGTATTTGCTAGGATTCACTCAAGGCATTTCTTGTATAGGCTAATTCTATGTCATCCTATGAGAACAGATGTATTTTGAAAATATCAGAAACTGATGTTGTTCAGAAAAGTATTTGCATTATGGATGTAACTCAGCATAATATACATGATGCAACTTTTAAATATTTGTAAAATCAGCCTATATTCACTTACAAGTCCCCCTAAATAAAAACAGATTGACCTGATTTTAGGGTAAGTAAACTTCTGTATATCCAAGTCCTGAAATGGACATCTAAAGCCATCTCTAAGGTGAATTTAACAATATTTTACGTCACAGAAACACTGTGATATTTCATTGTCAGCCTGTGTTACAAAGTGTTACATATTCTGTGACATTTTATTTTTCTGTGTATTGACCTTGAATTAATTAATTAGTTTCAACAATAAAAAGGCAATCTAAACTAAAGGAACAAAATCATTGCATTTCTCACTCTCAAAAGCCACACTGTGATTGGGAAGGAGGTTTTTTTTGTTATTGTGGGTATAGGATGACTGTTCTAGACTTTTATTTAGAGAGCTTTGCTCTCTAGTATTCATTCATAGTGCTCCTAGTATTCATTGACATCTGACAGTTTGCTACTTCAATCCACTGGTATTGCCTCACAAGCAGTTTTGCCATTCTAGCTAACCAAAAATACAAAAAATACCACCACAAAATTTACAAAGCAGAAACACTGTAATTAGAATAAAACAGTATAGTTCAATTGGACAGGACCTACAACAATCACTTAGTCCAACAATGCTACAGTTAAGTTGCATTCTTCTGTCTGTTAAGAATCAGATTTTTTTCTGAGATACTTGTCAGTCATTTTATGCAGGCATTCAGTGCTGCCCTGAGAAAAGCTGGTATTTGGTAGTGATCCTAAAAGGAACTCACTACTCAGTGGAGTCACTTCACAAATAAGCACTTCAACAAAGGCAAATATTATGGTACTGGCACTAGGATATGCAAAATTAAAACCTGAATGAGCATAGAGCAAACAACTCTTCTTGTGAGATTTGCCAGAAAACCCCTAGTAATCAGTGGAGCTCCCAAATGGTTTTTTAAAAGGATTTGCCTACCCGGTTAAAGTATATCACAATCACTGTTTTTAGGGATGTCCGTATTACAGTCAAATGGGGAATTGTAAAGTTTTGATTACAAAAATATCCATCTCAGGTATTAATAGCACCCTATAGTAAGATCTTGGAGTTCAGGAGCATCCACTTTTACCAGTCTCTCAGTTGACTCTGCAGCCTATTACAGCAAAACCACTATGAAATCACTGTTACACCTCTCTGTAACCTCTGTTGTGAATACAATAAAGCCACAGATCAGGTTCATATCACAATATCATACCGTTTTCTGGGGTTTTCTATATTTGATGAGCATGTAGATGTTTAGGGCATTGATTATGTCTACATTATTACTAAATGCCTTTACCTTTATTGCTCCATGCAGCTGGGTTACAACAGAACTCCTCTGTAATTTCATCTGTTGGCCATGAGCAGCATAGAGCTGCAATACTTCTTTAGTGCTTCTTCCAGCCAACCCTTGATACTATTGAAAAAAAAAAATCACATAAAACACTCCTGTTTCCTATTGCATTCTGTCCCCTTTTTCTCTGCAAATATTTGTAATTTAGCTATCTGATTACATAGGATGTTGCCAATACTTAATTTCTTTGCTTTTACCTTTTTCTGAGTCATGTGAAGAACCACCTCATGGTAACAGGCCAACATCACAAAATTCTACTTTCTTAGGGTTGTAAACTTGAGCACCAGATTACTAAAATGCTTTTGCAGTATCTAAACTCTCTTACTTATGCTTGAAGTGGATCTAAAGGGTTGAAACTGCACCTTCACTTAGGGAAAAGGGCTGGTTACACAGCTGGATTGTGTGTCTCTGGAAACTAGATCTATTGCAGAAAGCACTGTGGAAGGACATGAAACAGAACAAAGGCAAACATAGACGTGATAACTGCTGAAGTCCTGAAATAGCTGGTAATGCACAGCCCCCAGCTTTGTGCCCCCTGACAACACCAACTCCACTACAATCAGTCGAGTTGCAATGGTACCAAACTGGGCCAACAAAGCCCTACTCTGGGTCTTCAGAGATCACAGCAACCAAAACAATTTTTAAAGGTTGTGGAGAAGAATGCTTTCTAACAATATAAAATTACCTATTATGCAAAAGCAATTTTCCCAACTTGGGAATTTTTTTATATGTTGAAATCAAAAGGAAAATATAAATAATTCAACTTTAAATATTTTCAGGCATGAATGCAAAAAGAGTCATCTCGGTAGAGACTTCTTGTGAAAGTCTGCAACATCGAAGAATCTGCATTACACTAAAAATACATTTTTGTAATTTTCTGACAGTCTTGGTGCTTAAAATGAGCTGCAACTTCTTCATCTGTTTTTCCCTGCCACATGCTGACATCTATCACTCCTTAACCAGTACCAATTGCCTCTTCCTCTATTTTGGAAATGCACTTGTCTCTTGCACAGATTTATTTCCTACTTTATTAACACCATATATTCTGTGAGTGCAATTCCCTGTTATTTAAATTAGCAAAGCATAGAAGAGTACAACAAATGACATGAAAGAGCTAAATCTACTCACAAAATGGATTTGATTCGATTCCAATCATCTGATAACAATAGCTAAAAAGCAAACTTTTAATTACAGTTTAAGTACAGGCAATTTCGGTAAAAACAGTACAACATGCTGGAGCTGTTAGGATAAAGAAAGATTGTATTTTCAAAAAGAAAAGTACTTCACTTATCGAAAGCAAAGCAAAATTTTCATATGGCTTTTCCACCTTCACAAAGCACGAATCTTCTATTTACACATGCAAGTGGAAGCTCTGTACAACAACGCACCACCTTAGCACTAACATAAAAAATTCTTACAAGAAATAGCAGGAAGAGGGTGGTTTTTTTTAAGATTGTTACAGGCTTTAAACTCCCAGGTATTGAGACTGATTCAATACAGTGTTTACACGCTCTGAAAATCTAAGGATTTTCAAGACTCACATTACTCTGATGCAATATTTACAAACAGCTTCATAAAAACCTACATGAGTAGTGGACTAGAATTAGTATCTCTAATCACATGTGAAAAGTTAATCATATGTATATAAGCAATTGCAGTACTCAAGCCTTGTTGTTAAGTAAGCTTAGGGTAGTTAAAACACCTTTTAGCACCTAATCTGCACCATCTGCAGAGATTCCCCTTGACCCTCCACATTTCTCAACACTCAGATAAAAGCAGAAGGGTCGGTGCTACTGTCATTGCATCACTTCCACTACCAAGTTCATCTTTATTGCAAATATTGCCTTCATTTTGGGGCTCTCTCCACTAAAACAGTTTTAACATTCACCAGAGTTGTTCACAGGCCAGCACTTACAAACCTGAGCTTGAGCGCAGAAGCAAAAAATGGACTAAAACATTTTTATAGTCAGCTTTACTATAAGCAGAAGTGAAACTAAACTACTCAATAGTGTTCTCCAAAGTGAAATCTCAGTTTTGCAATTCTGGCAGACTTAGCTTTATGTAAAGAAGGCTGCAAGGTCAGAACCTCAAAGACTGCTAATAAAAACAAGGGCTGTGTAGGTAGATAAACAGACTTCCTAACAGGAAAAAGCAGGGCAAAAGGAGGTCTACCTAGAAATAATCCGACTTCCTATGATCAGTAACAACCCCTCCAGTATGCTGCTGGAATAACAATATACCCGACAGCAGAACACAGGAGAAGTGCTGAAATTCATCACTGTCTCAAGTATGTAAGGGGAGGTCTATAGCAGGAAATAGCATTTTAATAAGACTGATGCAACCTATAGACAAACATTTACACTGCAAATCCTAATATATGGCAACCCTCATAAGTTTGTCTCCAAAGCTTCCCAACTCACTCCAGCCAAAATGAATCCAATCAGCTTTTACAAGTTAAGAATGAGACCTCTGTTAACCCTGGTCCCCGTGACTGAACTTGTTACAGCTCAATCACTCAGGCAGCTTCCCCAGCAGATCCAAAGGATCAGGGATAGACAGTCAAGGGCATAGCTGGTACAACATTAGGACATATGGTGCAATATTGCACAGCCTTAAATAATACCAATTTCAATTAGCATTGCTTTTAATAAAGAGTCTTCAATTAAGGTAGAACTATTTCATAGATGTCAGTTTAGCTCATATTTTCAGCTGCTGGGGCAAATTAACCAAGAAGAGGCAAATTTCTTAAGTGTATTTAAATAACTGCCTCAATCAGTGCAAGAATCATCAGAGCAAGGTTAATTGCAAAGGATTTAATTTGAAATTGTTTCTGACTGATGGTGGTAACATTGCCCACACCCCTTGTGTGTCTGTAGGCACCCATTTTTCTAGCACATTTTTAAATAAAATGAAGCAGTCCTCTATTTCAAAAACAAGGCTTCATTCTCTAATACACAGGCAACTCCTTCCTACATCTGATATACCTTACTGACTAGAATAATTTCTTTCTTGGGCTTGTGAGTATAAAAAATAATCAGCTGAAATACTTAAATATTGTAAATCAGAACAAAGACAAGAAAAACATTTCTTCAGAATAAACTTGTGTTCTTCTGTATACCTAGCAAAACTCATTTCAGATATACCACCTGTTTCCAGTTAGACTTCGAAAAATGTTAAAGCCACTTTTATCCACGGGTGTTAGCAAACCCACAGGGAGGGCAAAGGACTTCCCTGAGGTCATCCAACCAGTTAATGTTTCAGTCCAGATTAGAAACTCTTGGCCAACAGTTTGTGTTACCACTAATACTCACTAGCTGGCTCTGCTCTAGCAGCCTAGATCTATATTCAAAATTATTTTAATCTCTGAAATCTTGCCTTTGAAGGCCCCAAACGTTATCACAGGCTGCTCCTTATTTCAGTGAGGATCTAGAAATAATTTATACTTCTGCAGAAGGATATAAGGCAAGGAGGGCATTGTTGATGTATGCTGTGTGACAAGGCACACGTGCAACAATACCAGTACTATAAAAACACACACAGCAGGGCATTCCTGGTAAGTCGACTCCCAATGAAATGTCTCTCCTGCACTCTCTGAACAATTCTTTTCACAGCATCATCCCAACTGTGTCTAAAAGGTATTCCTGAAAAATCTGCCACTGTCTTTTGAACAAACATGTTCCCTGTAAGAAGAAATAGTCCATATTTAATGCCTCCAGAGTAATTCCCTCAGTTCAGCTCTCTAGATTTAACACAATAGCAAGTATTTAAATTCAAGCTGACTTCTAGTTACTTAATCAGCCTGTCATTACTGCTACAATTCAAGATGCTGAACCTTAATCACTTTATAGATCTTCCCAACTGGTAAAGAGGGCAAAAACTGAAAAGAGGAAGGCAGACTTCAGTATCTTTTTTTTCTATTTCTACAGGAATTCTTTTTGAAAAAAATAAAAAGTCACCTCTGCAAGTTTTAGATGAAGAACAGCATTTTCAGTTTCCAGGACAACTATTCTTTCTTCTTTGGTCTAAGGAAGAAAACCCACTCAAATACACAAAAATGAAAATTTTAAAAATATGAGTCCGATTAATATAATTTCATAATGATAGCCATCATTTCATTATGATAGGCAATATAATTTCATTAAGCATTACCATATTCCGCCGTTTCTCAAACTTCTGAGATCAACGGACTACCTACCCTCATATCCTCATCACAACAATATTTGTATATGAGCACGCAAAATTAGGATAAACTCTTAATATTCCTTTATTTCTATCTTTTCTGTTACTTTGCTTGGATGTGTGGGGACGCATAGGTACACAATTTAAAGCGCTTTTGCTTTGTGAAACCACTTATTCTTGGCATTTTCCAGAACCGTGGTCATTCGAAAAGCGCAGATTTATTTATTTATTTATACATAAGCACGTTAGTTTTTATTTCCAAGGCAGCACTATTAGAGGTTTTCGACGGTGTGCACGCTCCCTCAGCACAGGGATGCCCCGAGAGCGCTAAGGGCCCACCGTGCCCTGCAGTGGGGACGGACAGCTGCGCACTGCTCTGCCACTCCACTTCTATGCCAGCGCCCGCTGGAGCGGCCTCCTCCAACCCGCGGGGGGCCAACAAGCCCCCACACGTCGCGGGATTCGGGATCTCCGCGCAGGAAGGAGCGGGCTTGGGGAGCGCCCTCCAGGTCCTCCCGCCCGGCGGCCGAGGCGCGGCCCCGCAGCACGTGCCCGCCCGCAGGCCCCGCCCCGGCCCCGCCCCTCGCCCCCTCACGCGCAACCGCTGCTCCAGCTGCCGCAGGCGCTGCGCCCACACGGAGCCCGGGTCGAGCCCGCGGCGCGGCCGCATCATCCTCCCCGTCCCGCGCCGAGGCGGAGCGAGAACGGCGCCGGCTCCAGCTCCGGCTCCAGCTCCGGCTGGGATTTAACCCGAGACGCTTCTGGGGCGGTAGCGCGGCTGCCATGGAGACGGGCCCGCCCCCTCTCCGCCCTGCGATTGGCTGAGCGAGCGCCACAGCCTGCCAGCCACGCCCCGCCTCTGAGTGGCACGGCGGCCAACCAATCCGCGAGCGGGGACCGGGTATGGGGCGGGGCCACGGCGGGCGCCTGTGACGGAGAGCGCCCCCAGCAGGGAGGCTGAGCAGAATACGGATGTGCTGGGCATCCCTCCGCCTGCAGCGTCCCGTGGGACAAGTGACCTCAGGGGTCCCTACCCATTGTCCATGAAGGCTGGGGATCCTTCCGCCTGCAGCATCCCGGTCTCAGAGACCAAGGCCAAGGATAAGGGCAGGGAATGCAGGAATAGAAGGAAAGCCTGGAGCTCTCCAGCCTGGTGTAAGGCTACTCAGTTCCTGGGCCCAGGGACACAAACCTCACATCAGGGCAAAGGGCGAGGAGAAGGACAGAATTAAGAGTTCTGATATCGGCTGCAGGACTTCCCCTCTAAGCAGTTGGTGATGAGTGCTTTGGGCTAAGGCTGTAAGGGCCACAAAGAAGATTAAGGGATAGGAACATCTGTTCCTATCAGAGTGTGCTGGGGGAAGCAGAGCCTGGAGGAAGGGAAGGCTGAGCGGGATCCAGTCAGTATGTGCAAATACCTGATGGGAGAGTGTGCTCTGAGGTGCCCAGGGGCCAGGACAGGAGGCAAGAGTCTAAGGAGAGTGAGAGGATAGTCAAACACTGGCACAGGCTACCCCGAGAGATGATGGAGTCTCCACCCTTGGAACTACTCAAACCCCACTTAGACCCAGCCCTGGGCAAGCAGCTGTAGCTGACCTTGCTTTGGTGCTGAGCTGGATGATGCACCACAGAGTCTGCTTAGTATCTGTGAACATGGCCGCATTAGGTCTGGTCGTAGGACAAACACAAAGCCTGTGGGTTCAGGTGGTGTGGGACTCCCTGGAAGCTGCCCAGGGCAGGAGCTATTAATCCAGGCTATAGCTGGGGGTCTCACACTGAGGTTTCCAAGGTGAAAATGTGACATGCACTAGTGACATAACTTGGTACTCTATTGTATTGCACTGAAAGATTTATATGGTCTTGAAAGCAGTCATTATACTATTTGGCTTTAAAATATGTAAGTATACCAGATACAGACATGTCAGCTTCTTGGAAGTGGGAAATAGCGCTATTTTTGCACTATAGTTATTTAGGTTTGCTTTTTTTTTTTTTTAAACCAAAACCAACATGATAATTACAGAGGAATCCAGTTCTGCAAAATAGCAGCCTCAAGTTACTCTCTCCTGAACATGGCAAATGTGCTCTCATGCGGGCAATAGAAAATCCAAAGACTCAGAGCAGTGAATCCCTCCATGTTTGGCACAAAACGGATAGTGCTCCTTTACTAAGGAACACAGATACAGCCCATCTATCACAGACCAAACCAAACATCCCTGTGCAGCTCTATCCACCATTTTCTTGGATCCTGCATCTTCAACAAATAGCTACAATGTATAGCCTCTGTTGAAAAAAAAGACCCATCTGGCCGGTTGCAGTTAGGTTTGGCACACAAAAGTGTAACTCAGCAGTTCCTCCTTGCAACTAGTTCTGATTGAAAAATGAGAACTGACAAATGGAAGCAGGCTAAAAAACAGTTCAAAAGTGCTGCAATGGTGTGGATATTACAAGATGTTGGCATTAAGTAAGGCAGACAGGATTTTAATCAACATCAGCTATTTTGGGGAGGATGATTTAGTTGCTTGCAGGGTGTGACTCACAGTTCTTGACAATGAGCTGTGATTTTATATGTAATGCTTATCCTGCAGCAGCAATCAAGTCAGAACAACGTTATTTTCCAGCAAAACTCAGCTTCATCCCAGAAGGATCACCTCTGAAGTGTAATGGTTAATCTCTCCCTTACATCTGTTAATGAGATTAAGGGTCTTGCTTCTGTAGGCTGTAATAGACAATCCTTAAATGACTATCACTCCTTAAAGTAGTAACCTAAAATTGAGCATCCACTACTCCTGTTTAGTAATTTCTCTTTGCACCTCTGAAGGTCAAGTAGTACTGAAAATTGTCCCATCAGTAGAAAAACAAAAAAATCTCAGTATGATGTGTGACTTACCATACAGCAGCAAATCTCCTTAGAGATCTTCTTTCTATTTCCAAAGCTTACGAGAGGTTGCTTGATGGGCAGGGAATGAAACAGCCCGTTGGTGAGACCTGAGCAAGAAACAATTACAATATTCAGCTAACTTCTAGAAATGCTGCCAAACTGTACTGCAGCAGATCCTTCTACACTGATTCTCTGCTTTGAAGAATCTTTTTTCCCCAAACTTTTACCAACTTGATCCCGTATGTCCCCTGCAAATGCAAAGCCCTGCCGTATTACGGATCCTTCTGTGGAACTTCAGGGCCAGAAATTTAATGGAACTACCTAAATCCACATTTAACTCTCTTAATTTTAGCACCAATGAAATACCGTATGTGGATTATAAAATCTTTCAAGAGATTACAAATCTTAGGATACTATTAAGTAAGCATTGTCTTGAATAATTTTGATGCATTTCACTTTAACCCCAGCAGTGGAAGCAACAAGACCTAAGAGCTCCTAGCTCCATAAACTTCTGATGAGTTGTCCATTGCAACATTCCTAAATGCAGTAACAAGAAACACAATGGGTAGAGAAGCATTTGGGGAAAAGCCCAGGAGAGAAGGCTGTTATCCCTCTTGTGCCAAACACAGAGAGATTCTGCTGTATGTCCCTGTGTCTTCTACTGCCTCTATGAAGTGACATTCTCCACACTTAGCAGATGATAACTTGAGACTGCTGTACTGCACACAGCCTGTAAATATAATTTAGTGAAGCTTTAAGTATTTCATTGCACATTTTTGGGGAACTGTAATTCAGTTCTGAGCACCTGACAGTAACAATAAACTGACATTCTCTGGGCAGGTGTATTGCACTGTGGTATCATTAAGTTTACCTGCCATTACAGCTGGGAAAGAAGTCAAGCCAACTCCAAATTTTTAACCTGTGAGGCTTTGCCTTCTGGTCCCCAGAGCCAGTAACTGACCCTGAGACAGCAGTATCATTTGACAAAAAACTAACAAGAGCCAATTCTTATCATCACATACATGTATTACTATATGTCTTTTAAGACTGTTATTACTGAAGCTCATTTTTTACCAACACTATGTTTTGTGTTATTTAATTGAATTGGAGGTAAAGAACAGTCTTGTTTATTCTGCTACTTGTGTACTCATTGCTTGACATACAAACAGCAATCTGTATGATCGAGTATACTGCTTATTTCAGGGAACAGGATGCATACTATGGACTTTGTCAACATCTTCATTTCCCTGCCTTTTCTTCAAACCCCAGCAAGACTGTAGTACAGATTACCTAAAGGAGTTGAAAAACAGTGTATATGGATGATAGGTGCAGAAGGGACAATTTAACACAGATCTGACTGTAGAGATCTGACTGCATATACAAATGTAACTTCACAGAGTTATCACCATAAAGGCCATCGTCAGTAAAAACACCAAGAGCTGTGCTGCCAAGGCTGACAGGTCACATCCCTAAAGCAAAGCGGGTGCTGCACTGCCCAACAGCATCATACTTGTGTGCTCACTGAGCAAACCTGACCTGAAGGCATAGCCCAAAATGCTTTTCCCACTGAAAATGTATTACTACTGCTGCACATCACACACAGTTCCTCTTTCATAACCCCTGGAGTAGTTTGGTCTAGAAATAAAAGTTTCTACGACAAAGTTCGCAGCTGCAATAACTACAGACTCAAATACACCACTTTTTGCTTGTACTGGCTCTTGTTTAGACTGAGGGACTCACATATAGAAGGGGAATGGATTGTTTCCATTTTCTTCTAGTCTAGACATTCTACACTCAAAATTAAAAGTTTAATTCTTTTGAGGTTATAGATGGCTCTCAATCCCATCTTCAGCAGATGTATAGCTACAGCACAAGGCATCTACAGCACTTCACTTGGGTCTGACTCCCTCCCCAAGCACAGTTTGAACTAGTGACTCCCATTAACCACAGCAATCCCAGTGGAGACTCTGCTTGCACTATTTACTTTTCCAAGAGATGCCATGTTCTAGGTTCCTATTTGCTGTTAGAAAAACAACTTTACACTTGAGGAAGATACAAATACAGTGTGACTAGTCTGTAAATGGACACCACTGATATTTACTAATTTGTAAATTGCTGGCTAAGCTGTAAAAATCACTTCCTTCAATTCAGCACTCTAGGTATCAAACATTAGGCTAAGAAATTCTCCTCTCTGATTAGTGAACGTCAGCCTCTGTTGATTCCCCGTGTAAAATTAATTTGAGGTTTTCATATGAGATACACTGACTTTGCACGTAAATACATTTTAAAAGTACAGGCAAGGCAAAACATATTAAAACCCCCTCTGGTTTATGATAATGTTAGGAATACAAAATTAAATAAGAATACAAAGAACATTTAATGCAAAGTTAAATACAATACAAACTTTATTAAAAATAGGTTGCAAGTGAAATACAGTAGAAATGGGAAACTACAGCAGTTTTGATGTTTTTTTCAAATAATGCACAGACAAATATGAAAAGCACTTTTACACATATTCACACTTGACCCGAATGCCCAATAGCGGCCAAATCCACTCAACTGAAAGTTATAGGTATTTTTTTTGCTAAGCCTTTTTCATAGTCTAGCAGCAACAGTAATTCAGCCACAGCATAAGTTTTTTTCCTCAAGAAAAATTTGTCACTGTAAGGCTGCTAGTGTTCTCAAGATAAATTGGGAGAGGCTTGCTTTTGCTGATGAACAGACGTAGCAAGCATGCAGATCCTTCATTAACACTTTGAACCAGTTTAATCTTCTACTTCATATTTAACAGGTGAAACGGTAAAAGCACACTTTCAAATAAGAAACCTGAAATACGTAAAAAATATTTACACTCCAATTTTCATTAACTTGCATTTATTTATCATACAACTCTTATTAAAAGTGATTTCTTTCCTAAGGCAGTGAAAGTCTACCCCTTTGTATTTGGAAGTGTGCACAAATCCCTAAATATATATTTATAAGAGAACAATATGATACAGGAAAAAAAAATCATCTAAAGCCAGTAAAGGGCTTTGTCAAATAGAAAATTTGTTTGGAATCACAATATATGTTGTCTTAACATCACACAATGAGAAAGACTCTGATGAGGTCCTTATTCCCAACATCATCAGCCACGTAAGCATAGCTGAGGAAACAGTGGGAGGAAAAAGATTAACCATTTAAAATTAAATAAGGCTATAACAGTGTGTAAAAATAGCTTGAACTGCCAAAAAGGCTTTCAGTACAACAGTAATAGGATGTCAGTAAAGCCAGCTAGATGGAAGAGGAGCTTGCTAGCACTGCTTCCTGTGAGCAGGGATGGTTCCTTGCTAGCACACCAGCTCTGTCAATGACCTTGTGAACGTTCCCACTTCCAGACTGCAGTATTGTATTTGATGCTTTACACTTCAGTCTTCTTCTCTAATATGCCAAGTCACATCTCCATAGAAAAAAAAACAACTATTGCTGAACTGATAATAACAGACTTATCAATACTGTTCCAGGCCTAATTGCCCAATAACTTCTAATCTGAATTTCTCAGAAAACATACCCGTGTGTTCTGCTCACCTTCTAACTGGAACCCTTGCCTTTAACGCACTACTAACATTTTGGTCCTAGCTGATGAAGGGCCACTAAATGTAGCCTACTATCTATTGCTTATGTAATTTTTAATGAAACAGTTACCCAAAGGTTGTTATCGTCACATTTTCAAAGTCTGAAGCACATACAGTGGGGATGCATCAACAAAGACTTTTCCCTAACTACAGATAAAATCTTAGGCATCCGTTTTAGACCCAACAAATACATAGGAATAGAAACATTTTTATTCCAAGAGAATCTATCTAGAGAATGTGTGTTATGCCAATACTAAGTAATGGTAAGATCTGTATTGATATGCTGATCCTTCCGTGAACACCATACAGTATGTCAAACTTGCATATGAAACCTTATTTAAGGTGGCCCAGACATTGGCTTCTTGTCAAACAACCTAAAATACTAATTTCTAGTGCACAATTTAGTTTAGGCAATTCAAGCTATTCTCACTCTCTCTGCTCAGCAGCTAAAACAAAAGTGTGTCTGTAAAACACCAGGAAACAGAACTTATCTTTGACAAGTGCTACTTGGTCTGGTGCAAAAGAACTTAACCCCCAAAACAGAAAAAAGTTACCTTCACGTGATTCGTATCTTTAAAAATTTACAGTGCTTTCATTGTATAAACCACAAGCTCCTGGCAAAGTAATCAGTTTTCTTGCTATTGCAACATCTCTAAGTCTTAATTAACAGTCTTAGATATAGAGGAATCAAAGTCACTCCTTTCAGAAAACATTCATTTTCTGTTCATACTTAGTAGTGTGCCCCCAATCTCAATCCCTCAATTTGGAGATCATCTGCTAGATCTGATAAGGTGCTTTAATCTTATTTTGTGTTCAACTCATTTTCCAGTTCCATTAGTTTCCTAGAAGCTTTTACTTTATTGGATACATCCTGACCCTGTGAAAAAAGTCGCTGGCGTTCCCTGAACGTCAAGTTTTCTGGTGCTCCAGGTAAATCTGCATCTTGACTGCAAAGAAAACAAAAAGTATTTTTTATAATCCTCTTCTGCAAGATCCTTAAACATAATTATTTTTAATGACACGTAATGACAGCTTCTTTGACTACATTAAAGGAGTTGCCATTCTGTGTTCTGAAAGGTTGTTCCTCACATACACCTTTAACTCTGACATTGTGCTATCACTTAAGAGAAATTTATGACTTGACCATTTATTGCATGTCATAATAAAAGGAAATGCTTGCCAATTTTCAACATGAATGGCAGGTATAAACTAAGGGTCTGCCTGTATTAGCACAGCATTACTGCTTTGGCTAAACTAGCAAGCTTTTCTGTGATGGCACATTTCTAAATAAAAGCACTGGAAGACAATGCTTTTATTGTCCCACCTTCAGTATGCTACATGGTATTGTCCCACCTTCAGTATGCTCATACATGCCTGTATGAGATACATACGTAGCTTATATTATTTATGCTTATCACAACTTTGGTAAGAATCTCACTGGAGAGGTACTGTTCAGATGTATAAATACACCTAAAACAATTGAAGTTGCTAATTTACAGTGATCATTTTGTTTACTTAGTTGTAATGCCAAAACTCATTCCTGTTCAGTAGTGCTTCAGATCATCTATGGACTTGTGGAGAGAACTTAGTTGTGTTTTACAGTAACCCATAACAGAGCCAACAGCAGAACTCTTGAGTAGCCCCCAGAGACACAACGATGGCAACAGAAAATACTGCAGAAGTTAGCCAAGTCAGTTTATAAAAGTTAATGGACTCCTGTATACCTTTTAGATCTTTTGTCTCTTGGATCCCGATAAACTTCCCCAGCAGCTGCTCCTGTAGATCCAGTGTATGAATTTATTCCTTATGGAAAAATAAGTAAGTAGTAAGTTTAAGGACTGCAGCTACAACACAGAAGTTTTATACTGTATTCCTTCAAAAAGGTGCAGTGCTTCTTTCAAGAGACAATATCAAATGAGAGTCATAAATAATCAGAGGTCATCTGACCTCTGGAATATTTAATCCCAGTACTATTAAATTCCAACTCTCTTAAAATAACCTAATTTTGAGTCAAAACCCATTTTGTTTAGATTATCCAGCACATGCCAAATCATAGTCTTTATCTTATTATGGCTTATTGTACAACAGACACTGTTGTAGAAGCTGTTCAAGGAGATCAACAGAAAGAGCAACACTCTTCATTATCCTGTGACAAACTCCACAGGAATTAAGTTAGCTGTAGCTCCTCTCTTTCTGAGGCTAAAAGTAAGCAAAGATTACTATATACCATCTTTGCAATTCAGTAGAATCAGAATTTTAGTCTCTGTTAGGTCTCAGTATGCACAGAGTATCACTCAGAAGATGGCCCCTTCCTCCCATCCCTGAATTTGTTTCAAGTAACTCTTACAGCACTGCACCTTTAAGTTGATGTAACACACAAGTTTTACACATTATATTAATTCTTTGTAAAGGCCACAAGACAAAACCTTTTATTTCCAATCAGAAGTTTAATAATTTAGTTTATATTTAAGACCATATTTTCTTAATAACTGTCAGAAACGAGTAAAAATAAGTGTCAGCACACTACTCAGATTTATGTTCAGACAGTTCTGGTCTCAGTATCATACATGTTATGTCTTGTGAACCTTCTTTGGTACAAAAGGAGATGTTTGCTTCTTCCACTGGTACATCTAATGTCTCAGAAATATACAGAAAAAAATCTGAATGAAGCTAGAATACACAAAACAATTTAGCTAATGTGTTGTAGGCCAAATTTTTTCCACCAAAAATTTGCAGCAAACCAAATCATACTAGGTATGCCAGGCATATCAAGATTTTTTCCTCTCAGTTGTGAGTCTTAGATTCTTGTAAGTACTGCCTTCCCTACTTTGAAAAGCTTGTGGCTGGATCCACAAGCTGTGGTTTATAGTTTCATTTGCATTAGGATAGTGGTTTTCATTTGGGTGTTGACCTTTTCCTTGGTGAGCTGACAGACCCAATGGTCTTTAGAGACCCAGTGGAAGAAGGCACGAGAGCAAAATTTGCAGAAGCATGGTTTACTAGAGTTAACACTCAGAACAGGAAAGAGCTGTAAAGGACAGGAATGTAACAGAGTCAGCGAGATGGGAGATGGTCAAACTGCACAGTGAATTCTGCATTTTGTGCAAACGGCTTTGTACATTACGCAGGCAGTCTTCATAGAAGCTTGAGCAATCAAGTGAAGTTAACCTGTTCTCAAGGCTATTTTAAAAATTATGAAATAAGAGTATTCAGAATTAGTTGTATGGTTTATGAATTAGGCTATTAAAGGCGAAGCATCATATTACAATATTCCTTAATTGTTACCAAAACCCTAACCAAATCTTTGTAAATTGTCCTTTCAATCGTTTTCCAGGAAAAACAGATGTGCACACACAATACCAGTGTTTCACTTTCCTGAGATTCATTTTTCAATTAAAATTAACAGAAGACAGGATTAGAAATGCAATTATATACTCAATGGCATTCTGGGTTGTGGATAATGGTAGGCAGGCAGAGTGGTGGTGACAACTAGTGACTGATGGCTCTAGGGTTGCTTAATTCATTACATGTACAGCCTTCAAAGTACTAAAAAGGGAAGGGAAGCAAGGGCTTTTGCAAGCTTACGTGCTGTGATGGAAGGCACATTTTATTCTTTATTACAGTCAGTTTCAAATAAGAATTTCTAGAAAAGGAAGTCCTTTGAAAGAAAAAAATTCAGTATAGACATACACTACAAATGTTTCATGTTGGAAGTCTGCCATTTCAGAATATTCTTAATTCTTTGTGATATCTGGTGTTCAAAAGCTGAAGTCCTTCTGGTACAAAATTGGCTGTGGGTTTATCAGTGGCTTCACATGCACGATGGTTAGGCATAACGGTAGTACACAGCAGGTAGTGTCCAGAACGTTTACTTATACTCCAGTCTAATGAAAGCACACTGAAAAGCTAAAACCTTCCCTCACCTTCCTTTAAGATTCAGAACCTATTATAGAGCCAGACAGGAGTGACAGATGGGCTTGAAGAAGAAATTACCACAGAGACTACTACATCCTGAGATCTCACAGGCAACACCAACGTAAATGACAAGGCTTCCCCTGCCTTTACAGGAGAATCACTGTGGATACTTTTTTTATGCAACCTGGGTGTTGTGCTGACCACAAACAGTGGAACTACTAATCATCAACTGCATCAGTGGGAAAGTAGTTATAACTGAGCTAAACTGTCCCTTCAGCAATATTAAAAACTATGCAATACTGTGCAGAGCTTCTCTTCAGCACTGGAAGCAGTTCAACTGTAGCAGAAGCTAATTTGCCCTGCCAAGGAAAGGATGTTAATTTTCCTGGTTGGAAAACGATGACTTGAGCCTCAACTGTCAAGGATGTGGACAAGCAGCTCAGTGGCCTCATATATGATGATTCACATACTATTGCAGCTGGATTAGAAGTGCTTCTAAGACAGTACCTATTTGGAGGCTCATATCCTCCCTATGCCCAAGGCACACTGCTGAATAAAGCAAGTGAGCGATTTTCCTAATTTGTTTGGTGGCCAAAAAAGTGATAAGGGATATAACATATTATAGGATTCCACCTGTGCCACTGAGACTTGAATCCAGCAAAAAAGTTGACCATTCAGCTAGAAACCAGCATAAACACTTTCCCTTGGGATCTCGGGTGTCAGCTCCTTTCATTTTAGAAGGATGAACTGATCACCTAGAGTTGGTTGTCAGGCACTTGTTAACCTCCAGCAAAAGTAAAAAGAATAAGCCAGGAGAATGCCATGGCCACCACCTTCAAAAGAATATAGAAGAAAACAAATGTAGAAGTACCAACAGAGGCTGCTGCTTAAAGACAAAGTATTGTATGAATAAAGTTCAATCTTATCAGAGTGAGACATACTCAAAGAGTCAAGTATACAAGATTTCTCTTATACAGCAGCAGCAGTTTAAAAAAAACCCCAAACTTTGGACTGAATTAGCTTTGAATTCAGGAATATAGTTCAACTAGTACTCTGCAGGTAAAATATTGTGCTGAAGCTACTGGCAGCTAGGGCTCTAACTGAAATTAAACTTCATTATGGTTGGCTTGGCCTTATACAACAACAAGATGAGAAGTCAAAGAAACAGAGGTATAGAAGGGAAGGGAACGAGTAAAGCAAACAGTACTAAGATGAAATTTAGATTTTTGTCTCCCTGCAAGGACACTGCACTGTAGAAACCAGAACTTCAGGAATGGTGCCTAATACATGAAACTAATTGCAAGACCTGTATTTCTCTTGGTGCTTGTGTATTTAAGAACTACGTCTAAAAATGTAATTTTTAAAGCCATTTGCACACACTATTAAAAGAGAGAGAACCCTGATACCAATAAAAAAGCAGAAGGTAAGTTCTGTCCATGAACCCATTAGGAGAAGTTTCCTGTGTTCAAGAAAAGTGCACTTCCAGATGCCCTGAGTAAACAGCAGTCAGTCATACAAAACAAATCACTTGAAGATACAGAGTGAAAGCCAAAACCAACAGTACTTCAAACTGATTCAGTAGCAGTTACAATCATTTCTGATTCATATATGAAAGATGGAATTTTTGCTTTTGAAGTTTGGGTAAAGAGCAAGAAAATTTGAAAGATCAAAATAATTAAAAATTTAAGGATTTATATTAATATCAGGATTTAAGTTAGATTACCAGAGTGAAAACAGTGATTAAGGGAGGGAGAAATCACAAAACAAGTGATTGAATCTAGAGCACTGGAGTTGAAAATATGAGGATAGTTTTGTAGAGATGACTAATTTCATTGTTTCTACCTTTAGAGCTGCTGGCATGGATGAAACTTGGTTTGTTTGATGGGGGCGGGGGCTGGCTTTTTTTGACAGTAGTACTGTTGGCATTGACAGAAGATGACTGGAATGAGTTGGAAAGAAAGATGCCATCTGAAACTGGGCGAGGCTGGCGGGAGGGCTGCTGTGGCTTAAGGGTGGCAGGAGGAAAGTCACCATAAGATTTTCTTGTGCTGGAGTACTTATCCTGACCTGCTAGATTGGAATCCTCCTCCTCATCATCATCATCATTGTATGCAACAAACTTGGCAGTATAAATCGTGTCAGGGGAGAGGACCTGTGTTTTGAGGTAAGAGGTGTTTCGCTGAGGTGGGGGAGGAGGAGCGTTAGATGAAGGGGTTGGGGATGGGAGTTCATATTCCCGTGGAAGCGGAGGTCTGTACAGACCAGGCTCGTCAGGTTCCAGCAATCTTCGTTCAGCTTCATCGTGCTGCCTGCGCCTTTCAGCCTCTAAGCGACTGTAATACTCCTCTTCCTGGCGCCTCTGAAAGCCCACAGGAAACAGAAACACAGTGGTCAGACATTTCAAGCCACGAGATTTAAGCTTTCCATCACTGAGGTACAAATATCTTCCGTCAATCTCTTTTGTCTCATTTCCTAGCAATAAGCAGGGCATCTATATGGACTTGCACAAAGATTATTTAACACTAAGAGTGAATGATTTTCATGGGTGCACTGGTGTTTGGCCAGTGGTCAAACTGTCACATTTGCAAAAAACCAGCAGCCATCCAATAACACAGTGTAGCTGTTATTTACAGATTTACCACTGCCTGTAGTCACTAAGGGAATTGCCTGTGTAAACTAAGGGCATTTCAACATTTATTACTCAAACTGTAACTACAGTTAATAAGGTGCAGACTTACTAAAGCTGTAGAGAATCTGTGGAAGAGGAAAATAACTAAAATTAACGACCATCTTAAAAACAGAACTTTGTAATTTTGTTTCATGCTTATACAATGTAAATTAGCCAACAGAGCCTTGGATTAGATGACTCCTAACAAAGTTTCTAGTATAAACACTTTCACATAAAAATCGATCACAAAGAACTTTTCCAAAATTGGATCAAATAAATGCTGTTAAAAAACATTTAAAGCAAAAACTATGCTAATGATATTTATATGAGGTTACTGACCATTTAAAAGGTCCTGAAATATCTTCTATGTATTCTGCCTCTTTAAAAGACTGTTCTGTTTTTAAACTAAATAGCATTTAATTCTGTTCAGCTCCTGTCTCAGACACATTGTAAATTAATAAAAGGATTTATTCAGTAGTTCGGTAACAAATGAGGTGTATTTGGGAACTGTATGTATGTTACAAAACCCTTTGTGTATAAGCATAGTATAACTTCTGCTGAGAATATATGACATTTGGAATAACCATCATTTCTGGTTTTAATCCACATGTTTAAAAAAATCCACCTTATCTGCTTATCTGTCCAAGAATGAGTCAGTTATCCTGAAAAAATAATAAATAGATCTGATCTTGTTCATCTACAGCAAAGACTCATCTCCTTGCACTACTCTCTAAAGCCACTTTACTGATGGTACTGAGTTGAGTTGGTAGAAGTATCTCAGTCAACATCTGTCAGTGAAAACTTTCAACTGTGATCCAAATATCATTTGGTTGCATCATTGTGAGAAGTTAAGAAAGCCATAGTTGTTTTCTCTTGGATGCATTTTTTGACCTCCCTACGTATACTTTTAAACACTTTCCTCACTCCATATACACTTTCCTCACTTTTCTCTTATTATTACCTCTTCCACTCATCAATCCATAACGTTTATGGGAAACAATTTAACAAAGCTTGAAAAATAAATTACCATAGCTAAATATATCTACGGTTTGGGGGCTTTTTAAAATTATTTGCTCAAATCTTCCAAGATGATCAACTTGAAAAGCTAGCCTTCTTTCTTCTTTTTCAAGTCATTGACAACTACCTTCTCTAGGAACGAGAAGGTCTTTAGAAACATCTGAGTAAAATAAGTTGCTTTGTCTTCTAGTTTTATCAATAAGGCTTCTCATATTCATGTATAATGTTTCAAAGGAATCCACAAGCCTGAATTTTTATAATTTGACTCCACACTTACCTGCTGAAATTATTTACTTGCTTTCTAGAAACCAATTCCCTCCTACAGTCCAAACATAAAGACCAATATGGAATATTCATCACTGCTCCACTGTATTTCATACTTCTCTCTGTATGTATATTTAAAAATACTGCAGAAATATCTAGAGTGCCATCTCTGGGACATAGGAAAACCCAACAGCACTAAATGAGCCATGATAAGAAAGAAGGTATGCAACTCATGTTGGAAGCTGAAGGGAAACAGGAAATACCTCATTTTTTCCATAATTTTCAGAAAGGCTCTGAAGTTAAGAGCCTTGCCACTGCAAAAAACCTTCAGGCACTAAGCCCGCAGTACTATTTCTGCAATACCAGTCAACTCCAGACAGCAGGAATGCGCTGTTTGTTTAATTCCTTTTGGTTTGGATTGGACAAATTGAAGCCTTGGGCCATGATCCTTATCACCATGGCTACTGTGTTTAAACCCTGCTGACCCAACACTGAGCTGGTACTGGCCAGGCTGAAGAGGAAAGCCTACAAGAACCCCTGTGGCACTCAGAAGACCACAACCTTTTCTTCAGCCTCTCTCCTGGTCCGCTCCTCCTCTTGCTGTCGGCGCTCTTCTTCCTGCCTGGCCCTGTCTTCTGCTTCTCGTTTCCGCATTTCTTCCAATTGTTGCTGTCGTCTGCGTTCTTCATCCTGTAACTAACAGAGACACAAATTTAATTGGTCACTCACATGGGCAAGACGGGTAAAAAAAGGTAACCAAATACTGGCATCTAAAAATAACTCATTCAGTAGAAAATGCTATGCTATAGATCCATCAATATAATTTCCAGCCATTACGAGTATGCTTTGTTACACTGGATTGCCTAAAATCCCTCAGGAAAAAAAAAAAAGCAAAATGGAGGTGCACAGAACTACATACATAAAAGTACAAATTACACAGGGATACATTTTTAGCAGTCATGTATGAACCTCCAGTAGAAGACTGAGGTGACTCATGTTCCAAAGACCTTCAACAACCATGGTCTCATAGGTACAGTAAAGTGAAATTAAATACTTGGAACCAACAGTCCACAGCTCCAGCAGTCAACTGTTTTTTTCATTCTGGATTAGAATTTAAGCACCGGAAAATCATGACTCATTAGTCAAAGGGTCAATCCATTTAAAGTAACAGGCTCATTCAGCAAATCTGCAAATAGTCTCAGGAGATAAATAAAGTCTCCCACTGTATCTGCAGCAGATGTATTTTGGAAAAAGCAGAGAGTGAAGGAAAGAAAACTTTTGACTACTGGGATTAAACAGCTCACAAGAAGAACTCATGTCCAACAGATAATACTGGTTCATATATGCATATGATGCTGCACAGATAGGAAAACTGAGCACAATCCAAACTTGGCATGATTCTTTAAAGCTAACTATAGAAACTCTTGATGGATAGTGATCCACTGGCACAATAATACAAGTAGAAATTAACTGCACTACATGATATATTATTTTCTTACTGCAACATATGTTTTAAAGTAACTTTTTTCCTCCACACAATTTTTTTTTAATCCTTATTAATATAAATCAACAAATTATTTGATCTTGCTATAAACTGCATGTAACAGGGATACTTTTCTACTAGTGGATTTTATTTTACAATCCAATTTCGCTTACAGAAAAAAAGACTCCTAAGACACAAAGCAGTACAGGATAGAAAGAGAAATTAAATCTTTGTGAGGACAACCTTCATGTAAGTATCTTCCTCCTCAATTAATTAATAAAAAAGTCTAAACAGTTTGGCTGATTTTCTTACAATTATTTCTCTCCACTGTTCATCTCTGAGCATGAAAGCTAAAAGAACAAAATTAATTCATTTCATTTAGGCCCTAATTTGGTGAATGTATTCTAGAAGATGATACTTCCAAGCAAATTCCCTTTATTTAAGGCTAAAACTTTGTCATTCCTAACTGAAAACAACAAATATAAAGATCAAATTCAGTTTGCATGGTAGGGCAGGGAACAGAATAGTTAACCAACTCCCTGCTTGGATTAAGACTTCTTGTCTTAGTTAATAGAAAGACATTATTTTAGCAAAGGAGATAATATTGCTGTCAAAAGGAAAGACAGCTAGTAATTCACAAGAGTTTATACAAGAGAAGTCATTTCCTCTTAGGAAAAAAAAAAAAAAGAAAAAAAGGCAAGCAAAAACTGCATGGTGAGAAAATACAGGAAAATTCCTGTCCCAATTACACTTGGAAAAAGACCCTGAACATGGCAATTACTGCTCCCATGTTATGGCATGGATGCCTTACTGCTTAGCAGCAAATACTCCTATTCAAAAGCATTTAAACAAGAAAGCATTTCCTACTAAATGAAAGAGAAAGTAGGACTGTTTTTTTAAATTGTCTTCTGATCATAACTAAAGAAAGAAGGCAAAAGTGACCAAGCTGCCCACTTGGGAACTGTTGCTAACATCTGAATCATATGAATTGTGAAGACAATGTATCCACGTCAGAGGCTATTCTAAACATAATATCTATGGGAAAATGGCTAAAAATTATCTAGAAGGCAGAAGTGAGAATACAGCAACTATTAAGAGATGACATTTCATTTCTTTATGATCAGTAACTAGTTTCTACTTTGGAGTATTTCCAGACCGAGGCAGGGAGCAGTGTGATGATGAGGTATGTCAGAGCACTTGCAGGCATTTGTGTCTGTAATTCTGTGTGTACAACAGTATCCAGTTCTAACTTTACCCCAAATTTTCAAGATGCAAAGGAAAATCAGCTTTGCATTCCACTTCTAGTGGGAGGGCTATAAGATTCCCAGGTTGAGTATTTTGATTGGACGTTTCTCTATCCCAATCAGTTTTTCTCATGCTTAAAAGTCATGTTTTCACCTGATTTACTGTACTTCTACATCTCCTCCAAAGCCACGTGTTCATATTTTAACAAGGAAGAACAGCTAATTTGTAGAGCCAGAGTGATGAGAAGAGCATTCTCCCAGCTGTAACAGAGCAAAGCAGCTGAGCACAAAGCACCAATTCTTTTCCCCTGCTTTGACCCAGCTCTACTGCAAAGTGCCAATTGTTCACTCAGCCACCCAACTTTGTCTCCCTACTACCAGCATACATTTGCAGCACTACTCCTACACCTAGGAGGGTAAAGAAGTCCACCTTTATTCTGAGCTATTGCTCCTGGTAATGGGGCCAGTGGGCTGATCCTAGCAGGAATGTTAAGATATCCACAGGACTGGCAGACCATTCTCAAATCCAGGAAGTCTCAAATTTCAGACAACATTAATTTCTCCAAGCACTGCTAAAAGATGTTCTAGAAGAACTTAATTTTATATGTATTTAATGACAGCTAAAAAGCTAGGTCAGATCTCATAGTGGCCTGAGGAACTTAAAGAACAAACACTATCCAAGCTGACAATTCTTGTATTGACTGTTCATCACCTTCCTTCAGCTGTGTCATTTGCAGAACAGCTAACAACAATGCTCACCCTAGACATACAAAAAAAGCATCAAATATGATAAAGTTTTTCTGGTTTTTGTTTTTTTAAGAAACAAAATAGTTGGATATATGACGTGGCATTGTTTAGATGTGTTTATGTCTCAAAAGTCACATGAATGGGATAAAAATCATGAAATTATGAAAAAGCGGTATACACACTGGGTGTAGCATTCAACTATTTCAGAATTAGCTTGCTGCCTTTTTTTTAAACTAAATTTATGAACATCATAAATCATCGACTGATTCAGGCCATGCATGCATCTAGCCCAGTATTCTGCTGTCTCTGACCATGGCAAGAAGAGCTGTACATGAGCCTGGCCTTTAGCACACTGCTCGAGATGTCAGCTGGTACAGCCTTGTGTAATCCTCTGAGTAGCTGTTTGCAGGCGTGATACCTATGCATTTGTCTAATCCATTTTTCAAGCTGATGATACCATCTGCCTTAACCAACCTCCTGTTGCAGAAAGAACCAGATGTTTGCAGTCTGCTTGGGGAAGTACTTTATCTATCTAGTTGCAGCTCCAGAAATCAAGGTTTGAGCAAAAAAATACAGATGTAGTGATAAAAAAATATTGATAAGATACTAAGTCTGAAAAATCCATTACTCCTGGCTTGTCCATTAATTCAGAAAGGTAAAATGCTTCACCTGTTCCACTGCTGTAAACTGTTTAACACTCATGTAACACAAAGATACAAAACTGAACTCCTTAGATTTTATAAGTTACCTGAAGTATGCACTTTAAAAGGTGATTTTCTGTTTCATAAGGCAGTGCTGAATATCCAAATGAATATTTTGAACCGACACATTTACAGTTTTTTCAAGCAGCACAAATTAAATTTTACTAACAGGACTTGCAAGCATCACCTTTCTTTCAAACTGGTACACTAATTAAACAGAAACTAACTTTGAAGGGGATGTATTTCTGCTCTGGGAGACTATGAAACTCCTTTTCCATATTCCCATGTCCAATGAGTACAAAAAAATACAGAATTAGCTGGAGTCATAGCAATTACTGCTCCAGTTTGAAAGCATGTCATGTTTTAGATACAAGAGAATAGTATTAACCAGTTGAAATTATATTGTAACTTAGTAATTGCATGCTTATGCAACCAACTTGGAAATAACAATTCGGAAGTAATTTCTGAGTTCACAATCTATTTTTGTGTTAATGCCAAAACCAAACACCTGTAGCACCTGCAAACAACAGTGTCAGCATGTGCTGAAAAAGTATGCTGCATTATTAGGCTCTCAGTACAATTTCCCTTCAAACTGGAAAGGAAGTGTTCTTAGAGCTCTTCTGAAACCTGCATGGGTGGGAAAGGAAAAGGAAGCAATCTTACCTCACAGCCTGTTCATTCAAAGTTATTAGTAGGATTTTATAAACAAAATTGCACAAAACAGCAGATACAGTTTTATGTTAGAACACTGCTGCAAGAAACAAATCAAGTCTGCAAGAAAAACACAACATCTAAGAGGAAGGAAACATAGGGAAAAGAATCACATCTGAAAACATTCAAATGCATGCATGCAGTTAACTTACTGTATCATAATTATCTTTGAACACACAAAGATACCAAATCATCCAAAGCACATAGGGTTGTTATTAATAAGGAATTGAAATAGGAAAGAGATATTGAAGAGAAAGAAACAAACATACCAAATCTAGAACAGAGATTGCTGGCACAGCAGTCTGCTGCAGGTAGTAAGAAAGGGGAAAAAAAGAAAGATGCACAGTGTAAATAAAGATAGGTTAGATTTGTACTATTTCAGAAGCATTTTCTTTTATTTGTTTAGTTGGCTGCTTTAGAATGAAGAACTGAATGGACATAAATGTGATATACAGAAATGAAAACAATCCAAAATTTTTATCAGTATTGACTCATGCACCTCCTCAGTAGCTCCGCAGAGATGCTACTTAACTGCATCTCTAGAAGTGAAATGTAACCAAAATGCAAACATGAATTCAGTTCAAGACAACTGTTATTTTTTAGTTTCAAAATGTTCCAAAAAGCTGGAAGAACTTAACGCACAAATAATGTTTTAAAATCAGTATTTGCAGAGAAGACTAATATTGTTATGCAATACAACTGGCTTTTGTTTTTAATGACATATGTCTTTCTTAGCCTTGCCACAGTAAAATTTTTAAGACGCTCTTTGTTTAAATGGCAGTTCTACATGAATTTTTAATGGCCATAGGTAACTATGTGCCAGAAATTGCCTGTTAGCAATGCTGGACTTTAGGGCAACCGGTTTGTCAAATATATATTTAGCTTTTCCTTTCTTCAGTTGCCAATTTTGAGGTATCTATTGTTTTACACAGTAAAAAAGTTAGGCACAAGAGAAAAAGGAAAGCAATGCAGACTGCAGCAAATATGAGAAGAGTAAGTTTAGGAAATGAAGCTGCCAAAACAATCCTGAACTCAAATCCTACTCAAGCCACTAGCTATTTCTGAATGTCAAAACAAGCATGTCCAAACATTTCTCAGGAATTAAACACTGCTTATCACAGAATTAAGTCAACTTTTCAAGACAAACACACAGAAGACACTGAACATATTAGAGCTAGCTTTTAAGCCTGGAAAAGCATAGCTGTTGCTATATAACTTGGGAATCCATGCTGTTATTCAGGAAAGAACAGATTTTCCTAAATAAACTTTTTCTCAATAACAGTAGATTTAGCAGAGTCTTGGGAGACAACAGCCACCAGCAAGAGTGGTTAAAAATTTCACCGTACTATTCAGTTGTATTTTATTATATATATTATGAGCTTTTACAAAACTGAAGCTAAGGTAAGCAAACCTCAGATGCTGATTAAATTGGACACCATGAAAATCCAGGCCTATAGGAGCTTGAGCTCTAGAGAGGGTATATTAGCTATTACACCACCCAAAACCAGGCAGCTCAAGCAATGCTCCCTCCACTGCTGAGGTCAGCACTGAGGGCTGGTAAAGGTAGAGGTAGCAGCTGGATCAGACCAGCAAGTTGGAATGGCTGTTCAGCTCACTATTCCCTGGAAACAGTATGCATGTCTGTGTGCATGTCCCAAGACTATAACAAAAACTTTTAGAGGTAAATACACGGGGGAGGGAGAAATCACACTGGTTTTATTCCTGATTCTCCTACAAACTTTGATGATTTCAAACGTTTTTGCTTACCTTTCTGCAAGTAAATTTCCGTCATATTTTACCTTCTAACCACATTCTAGGTACATGGCAAAAACCCTTTACTCAAAGGGATCTTTACTCTCCCCAAAACCAGAAAAGTAAATTCAATTGCTAAACTGCATTCTATAAAAGGTAGCTTTGATACTTTCATAATACATTACTCAACTGATGAAACCACTCTAAGTTATTAATTCTAAAATTTAAGCCATTGAAGAAAGTGTCATTCTCCTTTACCCTCTAAGAACACCAAAATACTCCAAGCATGAAAACCCACCAAGCTAGAAATTTATTTTTTTCTAGAAAGGATTTTACCCTTGCTCTTCTTTCTGCCTCCAGTCGCTGCATGATGAGCATAGTATCCACCTCATCATCCTCCTCTTCATCGTCATCTTCATCCTTCTGCTTTGATTCTTGCAGTCGCTTTTGGAACTGCCACTCAAGCATGAGTTTGCGGAGGCGGTCGTTTTCTTCCGCTGTACGATCAGGCTTATTCTGAAGTTCCTGAATCTCTTTACTCAGCATGTCCACAATGTGCATCTGTTGCTGCTTCTCCAGTTTCTCCTTCGCATCCCGTTTCCATGGATCTGGAGAGAGGCTATCACCAGACGACAGCTCTTCCTTGCTGATAGTAATGTACTGCAGATCTCTCCTCTCAATAGTCCGTGGCTGCTGTTGGGGCTGCAGCTCTCGAATAACTGTTTCTTGAGACCTCTGCAAAGTTGAGGGTTTTTCTGATTTCACTTGTTGAAGGGAGACGGGAGGAACCACAGGCTGAGCAGGAATTAGTGGCTGAGAACGCATTTGGCCTAGTTTTCTCTCCTGCTCACGACGTTTCCTTTCTCGTTCTTCTTCCAAACGTGCCTTTTCTTTTTCATACCACCTCTGATGCTCTTCTCTTTTTTTACGCTCAGCAGCAGCTACCTGGGAGGATGCTTGTGCTCCTATCTGATTTGGAGGAGGAGGGGGAGGCAGAGGCAAATCCATTTGTAGTTCATCAAATTCGGCAGCATAATGCACTGGAGGAGGTGGTGGTGGAGGGGGAAGATCTGTTCTGATGGGCTGAGAAATGGCCACTGGAGTCGGCTGGCTAGTGGCTGGAGTTTTCCAACGGCCAGGTCCACTTTTAGTTAAACAAGAGCCTGGTGACACTGGTTTGGAGGAATGGTTCAGGTGCTCCTGGCTAGATGTGCTAGAATCCACAGATGAATTAATCCACTGATCGCTGTCCGACTTCCGATCAATGTACTCCACATCTTTCCGTATAACAACTTCCAAACGATTCCTCTCTGGCTGGAAAACTTTGTCTCTGAGCTCTTCCTGGGAACGAGCTACACGCTGAAAAATATTAAACAAGGCATGTGTATCACAATCCATCCACATTAAAACATATTTGAAAATGGCTTACAAAACACATTCTTATTACTGAAGGTAATTACTTTTAATGAATTTCAGCATTTCCATGCCCAGTAGGTTTTCCAAAACCAACAATAAAATATTCTTCTCCGTCTTCTTAACTCATTCAAGTGATGGAAGACTTAGCAAGCTCCTGGGAACTGCCTAGTAACTGGACTGGGAGGAAGGATGAATGCAAAAGGGAGTTTAAGCTGAAAACCTCCCCAGCTCGCACATTTTCTCAGGACTATCCCTGACACCCCCTCCCCCACGTGAGTACTGGTAGCTCTGAGCAGTGGCTCAGTCACACCAGCTCTGCTATTCAGGCTTCAACTGGCTTCAGTGAACATCTTTCCTACTGCAAATGCAAACAGAAAGGCTGCAGAGAGAGAGAGTGCCTCTGCCCACCCTCCTCCATTAACAGGCGAGATGCTCTGCAGGAAACTGCCATTACTAACACAATTCAGGGTACAGAATCCAGCCAGGCAGTGTAATTCTACCTTCTCCTGGAACATGAGTATAATGGTCTGAGATTTTTGTCACTTAAGTGCATCAAACACCAGGTCTTTTTCTATAGAACCTCTGTGTCCCATTGCACTGAACAACCACCTGAAAAGGAACACTGGACCATAAACCAGGATTATTAAGTCTGTTAATGATTTTCTTGAAGCAAATATTCATACTTCGAATGTTAGGAACTGCTAAGCACTGAACACATAATGCACTAATTATCAACAACTGAGAGAAGACTAACAAAGCAAACTCCTTTTATTTTCCTCCATCAATGACCTTAATCATGACCTCTAAAGAATGCCCTCTTTGAGAGGAACAAGCATATTTTTTATGCTCTATTAGTCCAACAGAGCTGAACACACAGTTATTTGTGTTAGATTTGCTGTAAAGATGCACCTAGCCAAAGTTTGCTAATGCCTTCAGAATAGAAAACAAGCATTTAGCAGCTTTGTTTTACAAGCTCATCTCTCTCTGCAAAGATTAAAGTGTATTTTTTTTTATTTTTGCAAAGATTTTTCTTCTGTTTTCTTCTAATTTTCAACTTACAAGAAATATTGTCTGGCAGGGAAAAACTATGAATGCTTTCAGTACTTGTAAGGAGTTAAAGCTTCTATTTTGCTTTAGCAAAATCCTTTTCTGCCCTGCTTTCAGCCTGAAGGCTATAGCTCAAATTCAGTGCCTGTCAACAACTTTAATAGATGGGCTTCATCTTTACCAGTTTTAACCACCTCTTCTAAGCTACTCACTTAAGCTTGTTTTAAGCAGGGGAGAGATGCATGTCCAGGCAACAATTATCATAGAATTCAGTTAAGATAAATGGGTAGGAACCATTCTCTGGAGACACCTGCCTCTCCCCTTCTCCCATCACTGACAGAGAGCACTCAGATGTTAACTATACAGCTATGATTAAGTGAGATGAAATAATGAAATATGGAAGAGTTAAGCATGGAAATTTAGTAAAATATTTCCATATCTATTTGCCATGGTCATTAAACTTGCAGCACTTCCTTTCAAAAGTACTGTCCTACTTGAAGCAAAACATCTACATTTTTTAACAGCCCAAATAATGAGAATTTAATCTCTATAACACTGAAAAACACTAAAAAAGAGTGACTTTTTACTGAATTCACTTGCCCCTACGTGCGTGAGCAACCAATAAACAATTCTTTCTTTGCTTACTTAGACAGAATCTCAAGATAATTTACATGACACTTCTCCAAAAGTAAAAGATAAGCCTGGTGTAAGGCGCTGCTCTTATCATTAATTAGGAAATAGCAAAAAAAAAAAAAGCTATCTATATTTTTAAGTCTGGCAGATTAGAGAAAGAAAATCATCCACTAACTAGATTTAGTAGATCTAGGTTTAATTTCCTGTATGGATTTGAGTGAAGTTCTCACTAACAGGAGCAGAACAACACTGTGTTTGAATTTCTAGTAGTACAACGGGTGTAAATTCATTCCATGTCAAGATGCATCCACACTTTGATAATAGACAGATTTTGAAATTATATATTTTTTTTTTTTTAACTAGGAGCAGGGAATGTGTTTCAGTGAACTCCTTGGATAGGTCTCAAAGTACTGTTTTATTTCAATTTTAATACTTTATCACTTAAATAATACACCCTTCAGGCAAATATTTTTCCACATAAACCTTCTTGGAAGAATGAAGATTTAGTTCACTTTTCAGAAAACCACAGAACATTTTACAAGATGAACCCTACTACCACTTACACCCCATTACCTCTAACAGGGGATTAAAATATCCCAGATAACAGGTCTGCAAGAACATGGTAACAAAAAGGAAAGGGGGGAAAAAAGGCAAAATGGAAAGGGAAAAAGAAATCCCACAGGGTTCCTGAACCCAAGTCCTTCTTGGCAAAAGTACAGGTGTTCCCATCTTGTGGTATAGTTATAGAGAGCTGACTACTATGGAAAAAGTCTAGCAGTCCAGGAATGGAAAGCAAGCAGTTTCTTTCTTGTTTGTTTCCTTATACTGAAAAAAATTACTTCTCACCTGCATGGTAGTATTGATAGAATTATTACTTTCTGCCTGGAGCTGTGGTTTTTCTTCATAATTTGGCCACTGACTCTGAGCAGGACCCATTCGATCCTGGGACTTTGAAGCTGGGAACGTGAAATATTCTCTAGTATAGGTCTGTGTTGGAATAGGGTAAGCTTCAGGTCGTGGTGGCAGAATCTGCTCCTGAAAAAGGCAGAAAAATAGTAAGGCAAAATTCACATAGATCTGTATGGAAGTTTGTTCAAAACATGAATTTTCCAAATATTTTCTTTTGGCTCCTAAGAGCATTACTCATCTGGGACAGGAGATAAAGAGGTTGCCTAGTATCAAATATAAGTGTGGCTATGACTCATGTTTTTATGGTCTCAAAGTGAGTATGCAGTATTGTACAAACCTAAGAAATCACAAGGACAGCTTCATGAACAAAATTTAATGAAATCATTGAAAACTGTCTCAACCTTCCATTAGCTGTAATAAGCAAAACCCCACCCAGTCACAAGTGCCAGCACTGTGGTCGAACAGTTCAGTACGACACTGGTTTAACTCAAGCACACTGACACTATTGATAGATAAAGAAAGTTTAATAGCCAGCATTTTGCTTGCCACTTCTGACCTCTGTACAAAGATTTCCAGTAGAGACTGAGGTTATTTTGGTGGTAGTTCCAGATGCATAAGCATTCTTTCCCCCAGGGCTTGGAGGCTGATCTGTTGGAAAGTTAAAGGAAGCATTTACATGACTGTTAATAATAATTTACAGAATTTAATAAAGACTTAATAAAGTAACAGTATTCATAAAATAACTACGATTTTGTCTGTAGGCAGTTCTAGCGAGAGGCTTGCTCCAAATGTTACCACTACACTGGTATTTTAAACTTAATCCATTTTTAAAAACAATCACCCCTTTTGAATACAACATCCTCTAAAACTACTGGAGGAGGCATCTCTCCCAGAAGAAGGGTAATTTTTCTTACTTGCTACATTGGGACTGGAACGATGATCAGCTCTGTTCTTCATCAATCTGTCATCCCCTGGCAGCTTCTTTGGTTCACTGTACTCCGTCCATGGCAGCTGAGGACTCTCAGGTGATCCATTTTGCGTGGAGTTGTTATACAGCTCAAAACCTTCACTCTTTGGTCGGGGTTTACCTGAGCCACGGCGGTCAGAAACTGTAACAGTTGGATATGTAGTTTCTTCTTTTCACTTAACTACTGCCTAATGTATTTTTTTTTAAACTAGAGCTACCTTGAGCTTATATTTAAAAATTCAGTTCCCAGCAAAGCAAATGCTAGTTAAAAATCTTTATTTCTTCAAATATGGAATCTCAATCTTGTATCAAATATACAGAATTCCTTCAATCTGTATTCTTCAAAAGAACTTCTGACAACATATCCCAACAATTGAAAAAACTAAGTATGTTATACTGAAAGGTCTCTGGATGACTGAGGCATATGGCATCTGGGATGGTGTTGTGAGGTGTGATAATGAGGATTTATTCTTTTAACCCGTTCTTTCCTATACTGTGGTACTACCCTGTATGTAGACAATGTCTTCAGTGATAAAATTATTTCCTTTACAACATTATTTTATATTGGAGTTTAATAGGTAATTTGTTAAAACATTGGAGAAGCATCCAAGAACTTCTTATGATCAGACAGTCAAACTTAAGGAGATATATTTCAACATTTCTAGTTTTAAAAAATCACTGGCAAAATACATTCCAGGGCTTCTGTTTACATTTATTTCTCTCCTACTAGTTACACTGCATTCTGTGGTTACAAGGAAGACATATTCTGAAAGGAGAGAAGCTCTTACGAAAGGGATAAAAAATGCCATTAAGTTTAATGCCCTTTCTATTCATTATATTCCATTTGTCAAAATAAAAATTAATTTAAATCAGAACTTTGTTTAAATGCATAATTAAGTTCTGAAAAGTGCATATGCAAAGGATTGATTAATTACTAGACTAGGAAAATTTCAAGCAGTATTTAAAACCAAATTAATTTCTGCTAAGACAGGAAATGTCTTTTTTTCTGTGCAATTATATTTCTTTTCTGATTTAACATTGTAATAATACTTGGTAAGATATTGCAAATTATTGTATTTTCTACATTCTTATAAATGCAGAAAGCAGACTTACAAAGCTGTTATCAATATCAATATTAGTATCTTTACCTCTTTGCATCATTGGGGATGGCTGATTAAGCAGGGTTGCCAGACCATGGTAAATTGCTCCTTGTTTTGCTACTTCTAGTGTTACTACAGACCCTGTCCTAGTCATAAGTTCTGCTGCCCTGCAAAAAAAGGCAAACCAAATAAAGAAAATTAAAGTAGGCACTGTATTTCTTAGTTACCCTTATTATCAGTAATCTGTTGCTTGATAAAGCACTCTTTTTCAGATTAATACTTAAAATCACTTTGAAAAAAATTACAAGATAATGACAAGATAGGTTTATGCACCCAGACAATACCTACTGGCAAGTACTATTTATTCCCAGATTCTGCTTCAAAGGTCAGAAGCCAAAATATTTAAAGTTAGAGCTACAGAAACTGTTCAAAACCAAAATCCAAACGTATAATATCATCTCTTCCATACAGAGAACCAGCATCATATGAAAAGAAGAGAAAAATAGTACACAAAGAGACAACTTGGTTATCCACAGTTAACCACTTGGTTATCAACCTTAGTTGAACTAAGGTTATCCAGTCAATTATGAAACTCCAAGACAAAGCCTAAAGTGTAAAAAACCATGAGCTTTGGTATGTTATTAAGCTAACATTTTCTTCATATAACAATAACCAAGGGAAGCATTCCATACCTCTCCTGGGATAGGCCCACCAAACTTCGACCATCCACACTAAGCAACTGATCCCCTGCAGCCAGACGACCATCCTAAATACATGTGCAAGAGAAGAAAATTCATACACCAACGCTAACATGATCTCCATTAAAACAATCATTCACACAAACTAGTAAATAAAGGATTTTAAAGCATTTCCAAAGACTCTTTCTACTTTTGAAATTGATGATTAAGAATATTACTAACCACATCTGCGGCACCTCCTTTCACTACAGACTTGACATATATTCCAAGTTTGTCTTGGCCAGCACCCTACAGAGAAAGAGGCATTAATTTAGTTAATTTATATTTGATCTCTTAAGCACGCCATCAACTTGCATCAAAATTTTACATGATTAAGTAAACCTCTACCTTCTCATTATTTTTATATATTTTCAAACTGAAGAAAAATCAATTATACAGAGAAGAGTTACATTCAATTAAAGTAATATGAAAAATTTAATATTAGGCCTATTAAAACTGCAAATTTTGTTAGAAGCAAAGAATATTTGGTCTTAATGCAAGTTTGAATAAGAAAAAAATATGTTAACTAAAACTTATACTTTAGAAATTTGCTCTCGTTCCCTTCTAATAAGAAACACTTTTACACATATATTATTTATACCTCTTTGCATTATGTTTTTAAAGAGAGCACTGTATCCCAGTGAAACAAGGTAAATTGCAGATTACATGAAAAAGAATAGAAATGTTTTTTATATTCATTAGGACTGTAAAGGAGCCAGGGTAAAGGAACAAAGAGTGCCTCTAGCTTTACATAAACAAGTAAAGCAGACGTAAGTATTTTAGAATTGACAGAGCCAATATTTAAGTCTACTGCAAAACCATGCAATTTTGTTCATAAAACATCTTTCTCAAAAGTGTTCTGCTACATTTTAAAAGGACTGTTAACAGTGAACTTACTGCAAGACAGATACCAACAGATACCAAATACAAGAATAAAAGCATCTATTCAAGCCATGCTGTTGTGTCATCCACATGCTCCAATGTACAAGACACCACACAAATCAGTCCAAATGTTAGTATAACAAACCTTTAAATTGTCTCTTATAATGCAAGACTATTACTTGTCATTTTATCTACTACAGCAAACAGCGCTGTTTGACTCTGCAAGTCACTCAGGAGAGTGCTAAGCACATTTTCAACAGAGCACACACAATTGTAACATCATTTTTCTAATGTAAACCCCCAAGTTGCTTTGATATTGAATATATAGCTTCCGCCTTTTTTTTCCCCTCCTCCTTTTCAAGTCTTTTCTTTTGGCAGCAAAAGCACGCATTGCTCCCATTGTAATAGTAAAGTAAAATAAGAATGAATTTGAAGATTATTCAAAGCTAGTGTTACACAGACATGGTTTTCTACACAAATGAAAGACCTATTTTCATTAAGTCCTAGGTTAATCCCAAATGTTTACACAAATGCCACAGAAAAATAACTCCTCCGAGACTCCTTCGAGTCTAACATTCTGCATGTTCAAATTTTTAATAATAATTGCTTAAGCCATACATATAGATAAAGGAAAAAATACAGATACTTTCTTTGTCTGGAAAGACTACAAAGACAATTCAAAGAATTAAGAGAAGAAACATTGCTAAAGAAACATTGCTGTCACTGCAGAATAAATTTAACTTTATACCAGAAAAACTGGCTAAAGTTATGGAAAACACAAGTTAGAAGACAGCTAGATAAATGCAATGGAAAATGCAATCATGCTTCATAAATCTCTTTCCCCCAAGCAACCAAGACGAACGTGAGGAAGGATGATCTAGCTGAACACCTAGACTTCCAAGATGGACATCACAAGATCTTTTAGCAGGAGTTCATTGAGACTTCAAAGTGGCACACAATAAGAAAGAACTTGTCCTTGTGTATTAACAACGGGTTCAATAATGGATCAAAAGTTGTTAGTTTTCACAGGGAACAGAAGTTTGCAGAGGAGCCCTAAATGAATGTGCTGTTTACCATGCTCGTATGTGTTCTAAAATAAAGGCAAACAATAATGTAACTAAATGTACCAAATGGAAGATTCATCAAGTAAGTCAAAACCAAGAGCTGGAGATGGATCACATGATGCTGACTACTGGAGCAGTGGTGGGGGGAAGATTTACTTCACTGGTTCAAATGTGAAGCAATGTTTCAACCTTCTAAGGTGCTGGTTCCCATCACGGCACCATTGGCAGAACCAGTTACCACCTTCCCTTGCTGGGAACTGAAAATTAAATTATAGCATTTATATGTCCCTTCCTCTGCCTACAGCCACTAAGTATACCTGAAGGCAAGCTCCTTGAATCCCAAAGGGCAAAAGAATCAACAGCAACTCACCCACCCACCCTTGCAGTTATAACCTCATGTATCACATCTACCATTGCAGGAACCAAACAACAGCTTTTCTTGGTGATCACACTGACCAAGAATAAGCAGATTCCTCTGAAGCCACCTAGAACTGACAGCATTTTTATTCAGTCCTAACTTCAAAGGAGGCTAGCAAGAATCTCGCCCCCTTAGGTCCAGAGATTCAGACAAAGATCTGTCTCATACAAAGATTAGGTTAAAAACAAGCAAACCTTTGGAAGAGCACTGCCACTTAAAACAGCATACACATTAATCAGGTTGCTTTGGTACTCATGTATTGCATCTGACACTATATTCATTCGTGTATATCACCTTTCTCATGCTTGATTATGACTCTTAGTGTATAATAAATGAAGTTGAAACCTTCTGTATAAGCTCATGATATGTTGCCTATATAGGTTTGCAGATAATGATGAAATAAACATTTTCAATTGCACAAATACCCGTAAGAGTGGTTTCTAAACTGACTTTATCTCCTGAAGTTTAGTCACTGTTTTCAGAGCCACCTTATACCTGGCTCAGAAATCTGGAAGCCAGAAGAACAAAGCAGAAACCATCATAGTCACTAAAAATCTAAAATGGCCACATTTAGAAAACTTTAGAATTCTGATTACTCCCTTACAAAATGACACTAGCAGAACCATTAGGTTCAGGGGATAATAAGAATCATCAGAAACACGAATACCTTTCTTGAGAGAACCAACTAAGCAGACACATGGGCTCCTCAGCGCAGCAACAGTCAAGGAACTGAAGGCCAATGGGATTATGAGTTGCACTGACAGAATTATTTATCATCTCTCTAATCAGCCAGTAGAAAACACTTTCTTACTTCTCCTATCACATCTAGCATGTTTTAAATAGTAAAAACACAAACAAAATGCAACAAACCTCCGCCCTGTAAAACATTTTCCATAGGATTTCATAATTAAATTGGGAAACAGCCAGGAACAACACTGCTGAAAGACGCCAAAGTGTAAACAGAATCCGAGATTCTCAGTAGGGTTCTTTGAGGCTTTAGAGAAAAAAACAACCAAACAAACAACATAAACCCCCCCCAAAGTGATACAATGCACTCTGGAATTACAGAAAGCTAGAAACCAGAATGAACCATAGAGTAGTTTGGGTTAAAAAAAAAAAACTTAAAGACCATCTAGCCCCAACCCCCTTTGCACAGATAAGGACACCTTCCACTAGACAGCATTACTCAGAACCCCATTCAGCTTGGCCTTGAACACTTCCACGGACAGGGCATCCACCACTTAGCTGAGTAAGCAGATCCAATACCTCACCACCCTCACAGTAAAAAACTTCTTTTGACTATCTAATCTAAACTTATTTTTTCGGTTTAAAGCCATTCCCCCTTGTCTTGCCCTTCTAACAAGTCCCTCTGCAGCTAGCTGGTTGGCCCCTTTTAGGTACTGGAAGGCCACAATTAGGTTACTCTGGGGCTTACTCTTCTGGCTGAACAATCCTAATTCTCCCAGCCTTTCCTCACAGGAGAGAAAGATCTTACACTTGTTTTTGTTATGTTCTTTGCCTAAAGGCACCACAGCTGGAAGATACTGTATCAGTCGGATTTTTGCTCTAAGGGTGCCTATACTCTAACCCTGACAATAATTCTTCATTATGATTTAAAGAAGCTGACATTTTACTCCTCATTGCTTCTTTTCAAATGTTTTTATGATGTCTATAGTCTGTCAATCTCTTTCCTGGTTTTTTTAAAGGAAGTTATGAGCAGATGCGTTAGCTCCAAGTCATCTCACTTAAATACACAACTAATGCATTTCGAAAACACAAAAATTATTTTAAAATAAATCTCGGTTCAGATTATGTTAAAAAAAATCTTTATGAGTTACCACATCTACTCATGTTTTATTAGGAACAGTGAGCTTCTCCTCTAATTCACATGTAATTAAACATGTTTCTAATGATACACATGTGCTTTCACAAACTTGGGAAAACTTCTTTCTAAATACCCTTAAAATCAACTCATCACCTTCCCTTCAACTTTTACTCTAAGTTTTACAGTAATTTGAATCCAAATTCCTAATTTCTGTTAAAATAGACTTGATTTTGCTTTGGTTCTACTTTCCAGAAGGCTGCATTAGAAGGAAATATACAATTATTAGAAACACAAAAAGGCTCCTAATATGTAGTCACCCATACTAAACTCTAAAGTGAATAAAATTCTCATACACATCACATGGGTTTTCCTGTTTTCATTTACTGACTTTACAATAAAACATTTCTTTGTGAACTACTTATTACACTACTTTTCTTTTAAAGGAATGTGAAGGTCAACATAATTAAAACTATTCCCCCACAAGTAAAACAGAGCAATAAAATGTGTGTATCAGTAACAAAAATACGATAAACGTTCTTTTCACTTCATTTTCTCTGATCCTTAATACCAGAAGCATGTGTATCCATATGGCTTTTAGTCCAAACAGAAGAACACAACTGTAAAGGAGTCAGATGACTGTGGAAAGCAAGAATGCAGTAAGCATAAAGAGATGGCTTATTACCTTTCCTCGAGATCTACATACTGAAACCTACGGCATATTTTCTCAAATATACATAACCAAATACAAAATCTTGAAAACCTTTTTAAGTATTTTTCAAAAAATAATGTAAGATATTCTATATTTTTAAAAGCCTCTCTAGAGCTACTAATCTACCCATTTTCTTTCACATTTGATGCAACTTTTTCCTGCAATCTTTGCAGAAAGTAGAAGATACCCTTTGGAGGAAAAAATTTCGGAAATCCTCCCCTTTAAGTAATAATTTAAGGAAAAACCCAACTAAGCTACTATTGCTAGTTCAGTTCACCTGGGTGACAATGTTCCTGAACTGAACTGATTATAACACTACTCTGAAGACCTCTAAATGGTTATCTACTTTTA